CCTAGCCTTGCTGAAAGGAGGAAGCCTAGGAGTCTGGACCGATGCAAATAGCAGATGAGTGAGTTGTAAGAGTCAGTTTAGACTGGGAGTGTACCAAAGGGTGTTCCTTGGTATACGTATAGCTGGCCTTGTCCCGTAAAGCGGTTGGGTTGCTCTTTCAGCATTGAGCCCAGCAGGGCATTTCTTTACACGCTGTAGTGTAGGCAAAATTCTGAATTTGTTCAGCAGACAGTAACACTGGGTCAGTATTGTAAAATGTTTTGCTTTTTTTGACTAGTATTTAGATAGACTAATTCTAGCTGGTTTGTCAGAAAGCGGATAGATTCTTGGATGAAGCTGTGTTGTCGTGGTATCTTTACCACCTCTTCCGGGTAGAGGAAGGAACATTTAAGAAAGCTGCTGAAATGGGAGAAAGAAGTGGTGCAGAGTGATAGACACTGTCAGGCGGAAAAGAATAATTTTTTTTCACAGTTTAACCTTAGTGCCTGTTACCACAAAACCTTGAAAGCTGGAGGAACGTTTTCTGCCACTATAGCAAAACCTGTATTTCTACTGAATAGAGTTCTTACTAGACAGCTATCTGTTGTTTTTGTGCTTTTTTTTCATCTAACATGCATGTGCCTTCCATTCTCATGTTTGTTATGTTTTGCTGTCTCACATTGCTTTATTTAGATGCCATCTAACAACAGTATCAGAAAACAAATAGAAACATTGCAGGTGAGTTAATACGTTGTTATAACTCAGTGAAAAGTTGCTTTGTCTCATGTAAATACTTCGTTTTGGTTTTTATGTTAATTGTATTTTGTGCCTTCCTTTCTTTGTAAGATTGCTGTTAGTACTGTTAAGAAGCAACAGGACTAAGAATAGCTAATGTTTCAAAGATCGATCTTTCTTGCCAGGGAGTAAAGGAGAAAGATCAGAAAATTATCTAATATCAGTTTTTCCTTGGGGGTGAAAATGTGACTTTGTAAGATTGAGTATCAATATCACAGGTGGTTTCCCTGAACAGCAGTGCATGTTTCCACAGGAAGTAAACTACCTATTCAGATGTATGTTTTTTTCTGTTAATTCATTTCAAAAAGTGTCTTGCATGCGAGCAAACTTGAGAACATTTTCACAATAAAAAAATGTGAAACTGATTTACTGTAACAACTTGCAGTGCACTAACTTGAAAGACTTTTACACTGTTGGTTTTGCAGGTTTTAAAAAGTAGGAATTGTTTTAGTTCAGAACAGAAGAAAAGTTTAACATCAGTATTAAAAAGTACTTTCTTCAGTAAGTGACTACATTTGACTAACATGGAAAAAATGCTATTTTGTTTCTTGCCTTCATTGACATATGTTTCATTGACTCGTCTTAATGTGTCATGTAAGACCACTATAGATTTGCTCTTAGGTCTTTGGGTTTATAACAGAGATATAGTTCTTAACAGCCTATTCCACAGTCTGCTGATACAATTTATGTTAAAAGTTTTAGGATGTTAAACAAAACTATGTTGGGGGGGTGGGGGGGGAAACATAGAGTGCTTTAAAATCTGACAGGCATCAGCTAAAAAGACTGAAATTCAGCCAGGTTGATGAATTACATACTGTGTTCTAGTTGCAGTAATCTCAAAGAGAAAAGGAAATACTGGCATATTGACACCAAGTATACACGAAGTGTGCCATAAATTAGACCCAAAAAGCCATTTTCTTCTAGCATATTTGTTTAGTTCCTAGTTATAGGAAGAGATAATGAAAATTTTCAATGCTTAAGAAATTGTAAGTACTGCTGTAGTTTCTAACCCTTTTTAAAAGGTGAATGCCTCCTTATACCTTTTTTTTTTTTTTTTTAAACAAAGAAGCAAACTTTGTCATAACTAATCAGGAGTAGCTATTGTTGGATGATAAACCTCCTAACAGATGGAATGTTGTTAACACATCGTAAAATATCTGCTACCTATACCATTTTTTTGATTAGATCATTGAAAGCCAATAGTAATTTTTTGTTTTTCTTCTGGGCCTGTAAATGCCTGTATCCCCTTTGGAATATCAGAAATAAGAAAAGCAAAGCATTACTCAGTTCTAGACACCACGTTTCAGATAGACTTGGATAATGCACGTACCAGTGAATTCACCAGCCTACTTTGAACATCAAGAACTGTTGACCTGTAGATTAAATATGATGAGTAATAATATAATGGTTTTTTGCTGTTTAAGCTGATTAAAATCAAAGCTATCACAGTCTCACCCTCTTGTACAATTATGCATGATTGCTTCTTCCTCACAGTAGCACTGCTGGCAAATTAACTGGACAGTGGGACAGTGATCTGTCTGAATACTAACCAGGGACAGGTATAACTGTTTACTAGTTAGATTTTGTCCAGATCACCTTCCTAAATTTACCCACTGCCTAGTTGCAGGTGTGCTAATTCAGAGGCGATGGCAGGAACACATTGATGAGTGTGAAGGGAGGGTAGAACAGGATTATCACTGACGTAGACTGGGTTAAGTCATTCCCTCTAATACTCTGATAAAGAGTCATGTATGTTATTTGTCTGTGAAGTACCACTTTTGCTTCTGTGATTTTGATAGGCTTTTAGCCTCTCTTAAAGTAAGCTGCAGTCAGAACCAATAGTCCCAACCAACCCGTGTTAAAGCCATCCAAATCACTCTCCTTTGTATAAGTCTATTGCACGGACATGGCCGTGCAATTATTTGGATCAACTTACTGGTGTGAGCTGGACGTTGTTACTGCTAGAGTCAATGCAAAGGGTGGGACTGTGGAGGAGGGAACCAAGGATGAGACCATCTCCTTTTGAACAGTATGGTCTTAGATGCACTTACACCCTTTGTGAAATGGCACTCCGCTTGTCCTGGTGGGATAAAGTAGTCTGCTATTCTGACTCACTGGCTTGTGGCAGAGACCACAAAATGTGAAATTAGTTAGGTTCAAGCTATCATATAGATATGTCTTGAAACAGAGAGACTTCACTGGAGGTGGGGAAGGTGTGTTTTTTGGGGTTCTGGTGTTGGGTTTTTGTTGGGTTTGTTTGCGGGGGTTTTTTTTTTTGGTGGTGTGAGTTTTTTTCTTTTGGTTTGGGTTTGTTTTATTTTTCTTAAACTGAGAGAATGCCTAAAAAGACAACTGGGAATCATTTGTTCTGTTCATAAGCTCGCGCTTAATGGCCAGTTCCAAGTAGCTCGCTGGACACTTCAAGATTATAAATACACCAAGAATCCCTAGTTGGAAAAGGGATTGCTGGAATTGGTACGAAGAATGTTAGTTACTTACTGTTTTACACAGTTTAAGAGCTAGAAGAAGCAAAACTAAACTCCTAGTAGCAGCTTTAAGACAAAAAATAATTGGTTGTCATACAGTGCATAATTAAACTGAATTATGCCACAAGATTTTATATTAATTCAAGAAAAAGCTAGCTTAATTGTTACAATAAAAATTCATTGGAAGTGAGTAAAGGCTAAGGCAGCCCACAGGAAATGGCTAAGTTGGGTGCCTGGAGTGCACACCCAGAGAAGCATCCTTGTGTGCCTGCCCTGTTTTGCATTCTCTTCTTCTGCACCTGCTTACCGTCTGCTGTTATAAACTGGATGATGGACTTAGACTTTGTACCTGATCCAAAGCAGCTACTCCGATGCTTTAGGCAAACTATAAGTTATTTTACTATAAAGTAGGTATTCATTAGCAATGGCTTTTTGAGAAAACTTCTTGGAAGCAATGCGCTCTTGGTGTTCATTTCAAGAGGAATATGTGCTTTTTAGTTACTTCTCTGCTCTCAGAGATGTGTAAAATAATTTGGAATTACTAGTTAAATATTCAGGTAGTTTTGGAAATATGCAATACAGGGTTGTTTTTATGAAAACACATTACAACTTGTAGTCAGTATTAAACATATCAGTTTTCATTATTAAAAAAGTTTGAAAATAGTCTCAGAAGTCAAAAGAGTAATAATAGAATTTTCTGAGTGTCTTACAGGCACCAGTAACTGTATTTTTCACTTATTTTACAGAATAAAGATCCCAAAATGTCCCGAGTTGCACTGGAATCTTTGTATAGGTTATTGTGGGTTTATGTTATTAGAATAAAATGTGAAAGCAACACTGTAACTCAAAGGTAAGTTCATTATGCCAAGGATTTTAAACTATTGGTTGGTGGGATTTTTTTCCCCTAGTGATATCAGAAGAGATCTTGAAGCCAGCTCAGGGATGGTCTAGTGAGGTAAACAGGGGAAAAAAGACTTCATCTTAATAGAGAAAACCAGAAGAACTTGATTACTTTGATGAGGAGAAAGAATAGACTCTACGATTGTTTCTGCAGTCATATGCATGGATGGGAGAGCAGAGAGATAAGAAGCAGGAAATTTGTTAAAGTTAAAAGGCAGTAATAGTACCAGAACAAATAGGGTATGAAGTGGCCATCACTAAGTATGGGCTGGAAATGAAAATATTTTCTTTATAAATTAGCACCATGAGAATTTGGAATAGTCATTCAGATTTTGCCCCTCCTCCTGACTATTACTAACTAGTTTAAAACAGGATAACAGGGTCTTGGTTGCTTTATAAATGAACCCATGGTACTGTTGCCTGTGATGGTACAGGGCTGTACTTTCTGTAGGTCGTCCTACCTGTCATAGGCTTTTGTATTGTTTAGTAGTAACCCCCCCCACTCTGCCAGATTTGAACTGCAACGTCTATGCTATTATAAAAAGTTATTTAATTTTTTTTTTAAATTTCTTTTTGTTTCTAAATTCTTGTAGCCGTCTCATGAGCATTGTATCAGCACTTTTTCCAAAAGGATCACGTAGTGTGGTCCCACGAGACACACCTCTGAATATATTTGTGAAGATTATTCAGTTCATTGCTCAGGTAAGAATACGTCTAGGTAGAACTATAAGAATAGGATGAACATTATTTGGAAGAAATGTAAATTTAAGGTTAGTTTTTGAAATATTTGCACTGAATTAATGGTCTCATATCTCTAATAGAATTTCCCCAAATATGTATACAAATGAAATTACTCATTCTGTTTCTACTAGTGGCAAAATTATTTTACTAAAACTTCAATAACTGTTGGGTATGAACATTAGGATGATTAATATTTACATTTGTATTGCACTGTTGTGGGGGAGTGTGTGTATATATATAAAAATACACTAATATAATTATTATATTCCATTATAGTATTTTTATAAGGGACAAAGCATTTGAACAGTAATATCCATTTATATTTAGCCTGGAGACAAGCTTCTGTAGACAGAAAAAATATGCAATGCATGCAGTAGTGTATAGCTAGTATTGTGTTATGATTTATATTATTTTAGGTGCTTCTGCTGTCCTAATATCAAAATGCAGGATATGATCTCACAAGATAAACTCTCATTCATCTATAACCTTATAGATTAGAGATATGTTTTCCTGTTTTACAGATAGCTTGTCTGTGCTTCAGCTTCCAAAATGATTTGCTTTTGGTCATAGAGGGATGAGGCAGGACACACAACACTTCACTGTTTATATTTGTTTCCTAGGGCTCCTCTTTTTATCACTAATTTTTAGTTATCGAAAACAGTTCAGCTCATTTGTAGACATGTGTTTGACCTGAGCAGAATTGTCTGGGAATTTTTTCAGGAGAAATGGTTCAACCATATCAGGGGATGAGCTGTGTTAAATTATATTATATTTAAAAAAGAACATTAAGTCATAGGAATAAATAGGAAAAAAGAAATATTTTTTAAACTTTTTTATTTTTTTAAACTTTTAAGACATGATACCCAGCTCCTGTGCAAAGCCAAGAAATTAAACTATGCATATTAACAAAAAAGAGATGATCATATCAGTCTGTTTTCCTTTATAGGAACGTTTGGATTTTGCAATGAAAGAAATAATATTTGATCTTCTTAGTGTTGGAAAATCACCTAAAACCTTCACTATTAATCCAGAGGTAAAAAAAGCTCATTACTTGCATGCTGTGAGAACAGGGTATTGGAGGATTTTTTGGGGTAAAGTGGTTAACTATTTTTGAACCAGGATGAAGGCAGATTAATGAATATCTGAAGGGGTGTTCTGCTAAAACTAAAGAAGTAATTGTAGTCATGCACAATTGCTTGTTCATTTCCAGTGAGTAAGCTAGCAGCAATACTACAGTTCAGACTCGTTTCAACAATAATTTCAGTAAGTGTGTGTGAATTTTTGTTCAAGTGTAACTGTAAAGCCTTTTCTCAGGGAAGTCATACCTAGCTCTTACGGTTCAAGACCCAATCTAACAGATAAGACATTTAAGCAATGTCTGTCTTCAGTATGTCATTCTTGGGATTCATATTAAAACCTTTAGCACTCTGTATTATAAAATATTCTGTATATTAGCCCATGCCAAGTCAGTTAACTGGCATCAGAACTGTGGGGAGGCACTGAAGGCTTAAACTTTATTCTTGTTACTTTCATTATCCTAATATGTAATATTTAAATAATGCCTGGCCTACTGGAACCGTACTGCTGCCTGTTTAAAAAAGAGGAGAAACGCAACGCATGTTTTGCTTCATCTGTGTTACTTTAATGTTATCATTTCCTCTGTTTTCTCTTTCCTTTTTCTTCCCTTTTTTGCTATTGAAGAGGATGAATATCGGCCTTAGAGTCTTCCTTGTCATAGCAGATAGCTTGCAGCAGAAAGATGGTGAACCACCAATGCCAACAACAGGAGTTGTTCTTCCCTCAGGAAATACTCTGCGTGTGAAGAAAATTTTTCTTAATAAAACGCTGACAGATGAGGAAGCAAAAGTTATAGGTATGTTGTATTCTTTTCGAAGTTGGCATTCCAATATGCACATGTTCTCAGTTACTCTCAAGCAGTACAGTTGTGTAACTTTATTTCTGTATTTATTTTAATTGTTAGTGAGAATCTAATAATAGTCTATTTTAACAGAATTTGATTCTTTAGAGAGGACTGCTAGACAATATTGACTTTCTGGTGTCCGAGACCAAATCCGTGGCTTTTTTTGAAGTGTTTTGCACTGCCGAATTGGCACAAAGAAGCCTGAGTGCAATTAGTGTGTTGAATAGCATGGCAATTTTTGTTCCCTTGCTCAGAATTGAGAAAACAGAAAAGCAACTAACGGTTGCTTCCATGTTTATGTTTTTTCTGAAAGAAACTTCTACTTTCATATAGTACCTCCTACTACTCATTTAACATGCATTTCTTTTGACACTTAGTGTGTTTCATGTCGTGTTTTGTACAAAAGAAATTTGTCCTAAGCTGAATAAGTGGCAAATATTTTAATAAAAATGTGAAAATTAAATGAGAACAAATGAAAGAGGTGATCGGAATTCTTTGGCTTTTCAGGAATGTCCATATACTACCCTCAAGTCAGAAAAGCGCTAGATAGCATTCTTAGGCATTTGGACAAAGAAGTTGGAAGGCCCATGTGCATGACTAGCGTGCAGATGTCCAATAAAGAACCTGAAGATATGATTACGTATGTATTGAATTACAGTACTTTCACTGTCACAGTTACATCATGTTATTTTTATGCTGTAATGTTGCAGATACCATCATTAATGCATTACAATTGTTGGCTTTTTACTTGACTATTAAATGAATGCTAATTTCATTAATTAATGATAAAAATTTTTGTTAGGTCCTTAGTTTTGACATGAAATTGAAAATATTTGTGGTGTACTGAAGTAGATTTTCCGGTTGTTTTGTTGGTTATAAACTGTTTTTGTAGGGGTGAGAGAAAACCTAAGATAGATTTGTTCAGAACTTGTATTGCTGCTATCCCAAGACTGATTCCAGATGGCATGAGCAGGACTGACCTCATTGAATTGCTTGCAAGGTAAGGGAAATGAAATTCTGCTCTTAGTGGATGTTCTTTTTTAAATGCTGTGTGTGTAAGAGTTTGTCAGTGCACTATGTAGTGTGAGTCCACTGCATACAGAATCCATTCTTCCTATTCCTGCCTACCTTCTGTAGTTGGTCAAGTGTTACTGGCCAGAGTAGCAGGAGGTAAAAATTTATCCTGAAGATCTTGCACTTATTTTTAGAGAGAATTTTTTGAAAAGCAGGAATTTATTTCTGTTGCTTTGTTTTTTGAACTTGGCTTATCTTTTTGTTACTATCATTTTTTTCCCCTTTTTTCTTTTTTTTTTTTTTTTTTTTTTTCCCCTCTCCTCCTTCCTATTGCTAATATTGTAAATTATCATAAAGGCATTCTTGTTTGACATTGCCAAAATGTGAGACAGGCACTTACAGGAAACTTTTTTTCTTGTTCTCTACTAATCCTGCTTCCTTTTTCCATTTTTTTGATCCAACACTACCCATATTCTTCCAACTTTTATCTCAATTTGAATTGAATGTGCCTTATCAGTACTGATAAGTAGTTGAGACAACTGGACAGCCAGGTGTTTGCAGGTGGGTAAACTGAGCATTCAGTGAGAATACGTAGTTGTGGTACATGGAGACAGTCTTTATGTGTTACTAGAGTGATAAACCTTCCTCTTTTTAATTTTTTCATTTTTAATACAGGAATGGTCTTGGTGCAGAAATACAGGATAACTTTTAGCTTTGAAACTATCGATTCATTTGCATATAATGTGTTGAGTTACGTATATTAAAAAGTTAGTAATAACGTGAGAGATTTTTCTAACACTTTTTCTTCAGTGTCAAAAACCACATAAAAGACATGAAATATTAAGTAATAATACAGTACTGGGTAAGTTTCTTCTACCATAGTGGGCTGAGACATATTTTTAAGTATATATGCGAAGGGGGTTTTTGTGAGTTTTTTTTCTCATATCCAAAGTAAAGCTGGTTTATCTGCAAAAATAATCTGTTCTTTTCAATTTTCATTTGAAGAAAACAACCTGTACATCACAGGGTGGCTGCCTACTGAGCTCTAAGGTGGTTGCTCAGATGCATGCGAAGATGTGCTTATATGAAACACTTGACTCTTGAAAATTATTTGTTTATACTAAGTTTTGTGAAGTCTTGCATTATTTTGCCATGGTAATAGCGCCTTCTGTTAGTAGCCAGTTTCAGATGTATTCAGTGCAGAAAATGCATCTATGTGGAAGCATCCTACATTGTACAGTAAAAAAGGAAGAGTTAATGCCAAGCTTTAATTTATAGAGGCTGGTTAAGAGTATGCCAATCTAGGGTGATGATACCGGTATTTTTTCTAAACAGGCTGACAATTCATATGGATGAAGAGCTTCGTGCCTTGGCTTTCAATACTCTCCAAGCATTAATGCTTGATTTTCCAGATTGGCGGGAAGATGTTCTTTCAGGATTTGTATATTTTATTGTGCGTGAAGTGACTGATGTCCACCCAACACTTCTTGACAATGCAGTAAAAATGTTAGTGCAGCTCATAAATCAGTGGAAACAAGCAGCCCAAATGCACAATAAAAACCAAGATTCTCAGGTATTTCTAAATAAGGTCCTTTGATGTTAAAACGTGGTTTGAATCTACATACAGTTTTATTGGTAGGCTTTGTTGATTTTGTTAAGTAAAAATTCAGCTTACTTTCTTACAGTGCTTGAAGATTTTTACACCTATTATTTTAAATCAGTATTTTTGTCAAAAAAATACTTTAATATTACTAAGTATTCCCTAAACACTCATTCACGGCCACATTTTTTGCTTACATCAAAAGTCATCATGTGTAAATGCAAATATATTAAGTAGGAGTGGTTAAAGAGTAGAAGTAGAAAAAAAAGCACCATTTTTTTACAAGCAAACAGAAAGGGTTCAAATAATTTAGCTTTATACAGTCCTATGCATTAAGAGTATTACTTATTTATTTTTAATTTTGCCATCACTGCATCATTCTTGTGAGAAAGTGAAATAAGAAAGACTTTCTTGTGATATTTGTTTGGACTGAATTCAGAGAGATACTAAAAAAACAAAGTAGCTGATGTTATGCCATTCTCATAATGCAAAATTTGACTAGTAGCCAAACAAGGTCTAAATACCTTATGATTAATTCTGCCGTCACCCATAATGGAACTATGGCTTGGTTGTGTTTACTTTTTTCTTAATTTGCTTAACTTCTGCGATCTTTTTCTTAGCGTGGTGTACCCAATGGGGCTGCCCATACCCTTCCTCTGGAGAGGACCCTTTATTCCAGTGTGTTTCATGTGGTGGAAGGCTTTGCTTTGGTCATCCTTTGCAGCACAAGGCCTGCCACCAGGAGATTAGCTGTCAGCGTTCTCAGAGAAATAAGGGCCTTGTTCACACTTTTAGAAATTTCTAAGGTAAGAGTCGATGACCCATTCTTGTGACTACCTCATGAAACTGCTTTTCTATTGACTTTCTTTGGGCTTTTTATGTCTTGTGTTTTGTCTTTCGTAGGGTGAGGATGAGTTGGCTATAGATGTAATGGACAGAGTAAGTGCTACTATCCTGGAGAGTTTCATACATCTTACTGGGGCTGACCAGGTAGGAGAGTTATTATGTTAACTTGGATGTAAGGTGAGGTAATTCTGCAAAACTGTCCCAAATAAATTGTATGTATTTTAAACTGATAGTGTCACTATGTTCACGCTGACTTTATCAAAAATTTATCACCTTAAAAAACCCAACCAAACAAACAAAAAAAACCCAACTCAAAAAACTAGAGGGATGTTGTAAGGCTAGCACCACCATTGTACGCTTTCTGGTCAATAGTGTGTCCCTGTAACCACCGTATACATGCAGACAGCTATATCTATATCTGTTTTTTCTCATCTTGATAGATTAGAAGTTCTTTGAAGCAAAGACCACTGCCTTTTTCTGCAGCAATACAGTGTCTCATAGTCAATGTGAAAGCTATAATAACTTATCATCCTTTATCCACGATGAAAGCTCTAATAACTGTTAGTAAATAACAACTGAATTCCATATAGTATCAAGGAGAAGCTCTTCTGATTTTAGGTTTAGGAAACAAGTTGGAATTCAGTAGTAAGGCTTTTGGAGTCCAGAATCTTTTGGAAGAATTAAGTCATCATGAGCAAAAGGGCCTTTTTCTAGAATTTACTATTTCCTAATATCCAGTTCCTTCCCAAACAGCATGTTTATATAACTGTCTACATTAAGAACCTCTGTAAAAAAAACCTGTAAATTAAGTAATGTGTTCTGTCTATTCCGAATGTGGTTTTGACACTAATACCTTATTAGATATTTAACAATGAAGAATTTGTTATTTAATATACATGGATATTAAATATTACCTTGTTCTCTTTTTTTATGCACACAGACTACTTTACTGTACTGTCCCAGTTCAATAGATTTACAAACTCTGGCTGACTGGAATTCCTCCCCAATCAGCCACCAGTTTGATGTGGTCAGTCCATCACATATATGGATATTTGCACATGTGACTCAAGGCCAAGATCCATGGATTATAAGCCTATCAAGTTTTATGAAACAGGAAAATCTTCCAAAACACTGCCCAACAGCTGTAAGCTATGCTTGGACGTTTGCTTATACCAGACTCCAACTGCTGTCTCCACAAGTGGATATAAAGTAAGTTTATTTCTAAAGTAACTACAATATAATATATTGAGTATTCTTTCAAGATTTATCATCATTGTAATGTCATTATGTTTCAGTGAGGTGACATATGCACTGTTAGTATTTTCTGAGGGTTTAATTCAGCTTTCTATGACAAAAAATTAAAGCAGTTCTATCCGGAAAAAAGTTATCTGCTGTAAAGATGAATTAATTCATGGTTTTGGCCATGTTGTAGTTTAACAGATTTGACTGTAAAAACATACATTATTGATGTACAGGTCTATTCTGAAATATTTATTCAGAGGTTAGTGTGTTAACAATTTTGCAAGCAATGGCATATACATAATTGAAAAATAAATTCAGTAGAAAAACAGGGAAATGTGGTAAGCTTTATTCACTATACTGAGCTTTTTTTTTTTTTTTTTTTTTTTTTTTTTAAAATAGCAGCCCTATCAATGCAAAGAAAGTGAATACTACCACAAGCAGTGACTCCTATATTGGGCTCTGGAGAAACTATCTGATTCTTTGCTGCAGTGCAGCATCTTCTTCAAACTCCTCCACCTCCACAGGCTCTGTGAGATGTTCCCCTCCTGAGACGCTGGCGTCTACTCCTGACAGTGGTTATAGCATTGATTCAAGAGTAGGTTCTTCTAATACTTACTGTAAATAAGGCAACATGTTATTGGAAGTAGAAACACCTGAGGTTTATAATGGCTATCATGATTCTTAGAAACTTGTGTAGTTTGTCTGAAAACAGGTTTTAGTATACGTTTGTGTTTCATTTGTTTAGGATAGTGTTTTTGTTCGCTTCTCCCAATCTGTGCTGTAGAGGCTTTTCTGCTTATATTTTTTAACGCAAAATCTAATCATGTCATGAAAACCTTAACCCAATCTCAAAGTCTTATCTAGTGGTAATGAGGAAATGTTCTGTTTGTCGTTAAGGGAGTTTTTTGCTTTCAGTAGACTTCTGCAATTCTGAGCAAATAGCCCCTCACTTCAGTGACTGAAGCAGTGACCTATTCAGGCACGATGTATCTTCTTGTGTATTTCCCAACCACAGACAGTTTTCTGTCTGCCTTGCTTCATGTCACCTGCAGATGTTTTTTTCCTTCTTCTTTGCTTCTTTTTGCTCTTTTCTTTTTCGGCTTCCTGTAGAAGGGACAGTAGAGGTGAAGATAACTCATGGACTGTGCAGCAGATTTTTGGCAGAATCAGCCTATTCCACTTGTTTGTTACCAAGAGAGCTGCAGTGGAGTCTCAGGAGTTGGACACCAAAAGTCTGCTTCCTCTCCCTAAGGAGGGCAGATACAATAAACATGCAAAGCGTCTGTTTATCGTGTTGAGCCATTCATTGTCACCTGCCAATGCAAATTCAATTATACAAGGAATGGAGAAGTAGTTAATACTACTTTCCTATTTCAGAAAATCTTTTTCCATGTCAAAGATCAAAAATACCATTTTTATCATTTTAAGTCGCTAATCAGTGTGAGAAGACTGTAAAATTACAGCAGATGTTTTAATGTCACACAACCTGATTGTTTGTAACTACTTCATTCTATTTTATTCTGGTTGTCTTCTTAGATCATTGGCATTCCATCCCCTTCCTCCCTGTTTAAGCACATAGTTCCAATGATGCGCTCTGAGAGCATGGAAATTACAGAATCCCTTGTGCTGGGACTTGGCAGGACCAACCCAGGAGCTTTTAGGTAACTGTTGTGTTTCATTTGTTTTTATGCTAATTGATTATAAAGCTGGTGAATCAGAGATCAGAAAAAGAAGGTTTGCTTTTTTTTCTGTTACGAATTTTTAAAAAGCTGTGAAAACTGATTACCATTGTCTTTCATAGCATTTAGTGGTGTGATACAGATTATTAGAGATTGAAATAATTTTATGTAGAGGTCATGTCTGCATAAAGAAAAAGAAGTTAGTTGAAACAATGAACAGCTGCCTTTTATTGATATTAAAGGCTGCTCTTACATGAAAGAACAGACTGTGTGGACTGTTAACATTTGAAATGTTAATTATCATCATGTTTGTAAGAGTTACTAAACTATTCTTATTGGTATTGCCAACAAACACATTTCTGAGCTCTTTTTGTGTAGGAGATTAATAACAACTGTGTTCTAAAAAGAGATTTTTGGATCAAGCTGAAAAAAATACCAGTTACAACTGTTTTCTGACTAGTGCTGAAGCTTCTGAAATTCGTGGCGCATCCCTCTTCCCCCCTTTCTTTTTTCTCTGAGCGAACTTCCATAGCTTCATAACTAATACACCTTTCTCATATGTTGTGCCAATGACAAGTCTATGTGGATTAGTTTGGGTGCTGATAACTGTGATCTACTGTAGCAGAATTAAATCTGTGCCAAGTCCCTTGCTCTGTCAATTTAATTTCATACATGTTCAACATATTTGGATTCAGCTCATAATCCAAAACTTTTGGTTGCCCTGCTATGACAAGTCTTTATATAACTGTCAAATTCAGAATGGTCTATCTAGCCATCATGGCATTCCTACCTCAACTGAAATTTACTTTTCTTCAGATCCTAATGTACTGTACGGTCAATGTGTAGCACAGATCCACTGAGGTGAAAAGGCATCTCTGTGCCAGGAAGCCATGAGTTTGAAAATGCATCTCTGTGCCACTGTCCTCAACTGACAGCTCTCTCTTTATGGAGGATGGATGAAGAGGGAGAACAGCTGAGGGAAAGGAAACTTCCTGGGAAGGCCAGTGCTCAGCATCAGATGTTCTCTGACAGCAGCCAGCCTCTTCTAATGGAGAGTTATGAAGTTGTACCATGCTCTAGCAACCAACTCTGCTTCTGCAGAAGAAACCAGGGATTGCTAACACTCTTCATTTTGAATGAGATGCTGCCTCTCTCTAATCACTTGGGTCCCGTATTATGGCAGATGAGGAGCCAAAGACGTATTTGAAACCATAATGCCAAGTCCTCAGTTATAGTATTCTGCTTTACTCCTTTGATAATGTTCAATGATAGTTGTTTATCATTATCTGACTTTCCTACCAGGAGTAAAGTAAGTCTTTGTCCCATGGCCCTGAAGATCTACTGAACAGTTTAAATCATAACTGTGCTCTACCAGTCTAGAAAACACTTTCAAGAAGGATTTCATCAGAAAACCTTGTTTTCTAAATTAGAAACAATTAATTCAGCAAACATTAAAAAAAAAAAAATCTGATTCTCATCACTCTTCCAATTTCTTTGTTCTGAATTATACATTTTGTTTCTGATAACAAGCTTTTTCCTCTGTCCAATGTGTGTACTCGCACCGGATGCTAGCTGTAGCCCATCCTTCACCATTGCAGCTCGCCACTGATTTGTTGTTTCGGTTTTGTTTTTTTTTAAACGCTGTTGCTCTGCACTTGGTATGTTTTACTTGGGGGCTTTTTTCGTTATAGATTTTATGTATATGCAGTCCACTTAAACTTGCTAGAATATTCTTTTTCTCTTTTGTTTTCTGTTACTGATTTCATGACCTTGTCTAGGTGTCTCTTGCTGTCCATTGGAAGCTGACCCTTTACTATGTTTTAGCACAAAAAAAGCTTCTTCCAAATCCCTTTCTGTGTTTTCTACGTTTGAAAGAAAGTATAAAACAATCCCTAACCATGCTTAAGTCTCTTGTAATTGAGTGCACCACAAAAGTTTGTGCAGCTTTCTGATCAGCTGGACCCATTCTCTGAAGGAGGACCTTTGAATGATGTAGCAGAGGAGTCAGTCATTTACCATGAAAACTTGAAGTGGTTTACACTTTTTATATGTCTGAATTACAATACCACAGGAAGTAGAAAAATGTGTCACACTCCAACAAATCTAAAGTGGAGGCAGTAGTTACTATGTTAACAAATATTAAAGTAAAACCAATATGTTTTTACAAAATAGATCCATACTACTCATCTCCTTCCCCTTTCCCTGCCCTCTTTTTGGGGTGGTAAGAGAGTCTCAGTTTGGCAGAAGGAACTGAGTAGTAATAAAGACGATGGAGCTTCAGAACAAATAGGAAACGTCACTACAGCATCAAAGCATGTTGCTTTTCATTTTTCATAGAGACTAGTCTGACTTCTGTCAGCATAGTGCTATTGGCCTTAAAGAAACAATCTTTATTAACAACTAAATGCATCATGACAACTGAACGAACATTGTATGATAAGGTGCCAATGTCTTTTTTTTTTTTCCTAATAGCATCTATTTGCACCGTAAGGCTTTGTTAAACCCCGAATATGAAAATAAATGAAAATAATCTGTGACAGAAATACGCCATAATACTTGGTGAATGCAAATTTAGTGGTAATTATCAAGACATACATTTGGTAGTCTGTCTTTAAATTAGGAAAATACCTTTCTAGGAAACATCTCTCTTAAATGGTGATTTATTTCAGAAAGCTACAGGTAAAAAAGGAAAACCTGAGGGTGTTTTAAGTTGTATTGTTACACTAGTTGCTGTGAAACATCTTTCAGTTGAGATTTCAATTTAATGGTTGTTTTTATCCTTTTAATTCTTTTATTTTAATTCAGGGAACTAATAGAAGAATTACATCCTATAATTAAGGAAGCACTTGAAAGAAGGCCAGAGGTAATTAGATATTTTCCACTATAATCAGTACACAGTTTTAACTATCTTCTCACAAATGGTAGTAAAGAAATGTTAGTTATGTTCTTTAATTTCTGCACCTAAAAACTGTCAGTATACCAGATAAAAATGTGAGATGTTACTTTTTTAAACAATTGTGAGGTGTTTACATTAGAAGATCTTTGTGTTCATTTTTGAGCTCTGTATTATTCCTGTATTGAAGAGGGTTTGTTTCAAATGATGAAAAAATTACTGTAACCTTTTCCATGTTCTTTTAATTCCTTTTACCTAAGCAGTTTTACACAGTTGTTACTTTGTTGTATCATCAGTAACACGCCCACAATTAATAGTACCTAAGACATAGACTTGAGTTCTACTGTCTACCAACTTTGTTTATTTTTTTGAAATGAAAAAGACTATAAGTTCACCTGATTGACTGCTATGAGTAAAATTGTCTGATGCAGGGCATGTTTTACAGCAGGGTTTAGAAGCCCCAGTAGGTATTCATAGAAATAATAATCTCTGGAGACACAAACTCAGAGGTGATTACTCAGTATTTTTTGTGGTAACTGTTATATTTTTATTAGTAACAAATTTGTAATTAAGTACAGATGATGGAAAGGAACATCACTTCTGTTTCAAAATGTTACTGGGCCATAGTGTGTTTTGTCAGTCTTGCATGAAAATACGTAGAAAGATTGGCATTTGTACTTCAGTTCATTGTTTTCTATGTTGCACTTTGCAACAGGAGATTGATAAAAAACATATTATTTTGATAATACATGTAATAACAAACCTAGTACATCTTGGAGTTGCAACAGGGAGAATTTTGTTCATTGTCTGGTCTATTAAAATTGCTAGCAATTTTGGGAACTCATCTTAAGAGGTTGGCACCTGATAATTGATGCCAGTTGTAGTACATATATAATAATGCTTTTATATACCACACTGGTTTTATACTTAGTTTTCCTTGGCTTCATTTAATTTTGTGTTTCCTCTGTTGAATAGAACATGAAACGGCGCAGGCGTCGAGATATTTTACGAGTACAACTAGTACGAATATTTGAACTGTTGGCAGATGCTGGTGTCATTAGTCACAGGTAGGGGCAGCACTGATGAGAAAATGTTGTTTGTGCTTCTGAATTAAGTCACTAGTATTCTTATGACCCAGTATAACAAGCATGCAAATTCTTCTAATGAGTTTTAGTATACCACTAAATAAATAGACATGGTTTTATAAAACTTGGAATTTTGCTGTCTTTCTAATACCTCCCTCCCCCGTGCTTTTTGTCACAGTGGTCTGTGTTTTATTTAAAATGCTACTATTCCCCAGGACATTGCTTTGAACAGGCAGTGTGTCATGTTCCTTTTTGTTTGTGTGTGTTCAAACATCACACCAGTTACGTGAATCAGAAAACACAAGGTACAACTATTCTGTAATCAGTCTGGAATTCTTCCTCACCTGGAGTCCTGATGCTAGTCAGCATGTCCTATGCGGAGAAGGCTACTGCTCATTAATAGTGGACCTTTCTTTCTGAAGGGGGCGGAATGTTAACTGGGTTGGGTTTTTTTCTCAGTTTACCCTACTTGTGTAGGGACACTTTGAAAAAAGACTTAAAATTCTGGCGTATGCCATTTTTTTTTCTATGCAGGCGGAACTGTATAAGAACAAGCAGGCTAGGAGATGGTTGGGCTAGCTCCTCCCATTCTGTTAGGCAATGATACTTAAATGTTTATTTGGCAACCTTAGCCATTGCTAATCAGTGTGAAATTCTCAATCTTTAAGCAAGCTACTACAGTAATATTTCAGAATGTTGCCTCAGAAGCATTGCTAAAATGCCTTTCTTCCTTTTGGCATGCTGATTTTTCAGAGCGCAGCCGTTAAAATTGTATTCTCCCTTCTTATCTTTTAAGGTACTCACTGTGTTTAAATTATTAACATTATATACATAATATATTTTATTATACATTTAAATATGTTTAATTAGCATATGTGAAACATCTCCTAACCACAGTTTGCACCTTGGAACTTTGTCGGCTTTCCTCTCTCAGGCCACTCTGACTCTATGGTGGTAGCTAGCAAGCAATTAAGGGCTACCATAAAACTCCTTATCTTGCCTTTGGTGTGCAAGGCATGCTTTTGAGTTGTCTTCAGTACAAATGTGGAAAGATGGTGGAGGGAGCTGAGAGGAAAGGAATCACCCTTCTAACAGTTGTTTTTCAAAGGAGGGCAGGTTTGAATCACAGGCAGTCTTTAATCTCCTTATTTAGTTTACTAGTGACATCTAGTCAGATGCTATAGCAATGAAGATGGGAAATGAATACATAAAATGAATAAATTGCTTTCATCTACTAATAGTCAATAGTATGTCATGAAGTACTGAACATCTTGACTGACTCCCACAAATTAGTATGTAATATAGATGTCTATAGTCAAGCAGTAGTAATTTTTTTTTCTGGTTTATAAATTGTGTGGGTTTGAGGGAGGGGGTTGGTTGGGGTTTTTAATTATTATGTTTAACACTTGTCCCCAGTGTAAGAACTAATGCCGTGGAAGGGTGAGTGAGTTCTGATAGTGAGGCTTGATTATTAGTTTGCTTCCACTGGAGCTTTTTATTTAACACCGAAATAGAAGCTGGGTGAAGAAATTACTTTAAATGAAATATTTGCAGTGATGAGGTTGTAGGTTTTTTCAAAGAGAAAAAAATCAGAATTGTTTTCAAAAATTGTTGTATGTACTTATCATACTATTTGATTTTTTTTTAAATTATTTTTAAGTGCAAGTGGTGGCCTTGATAATGAAACACATTCCCTCAACAACACTTTACTTGAGTATGTTGATCTAACAAGACAACTCCTAGAAGCAGAAAATGAAAAGGATTCTGATACATTGAAAGATATCCGATGCCATTTTAGTGCCTTAGTGGCAAATATCATTCAAAATGTTCCAGGTATGTAAAAAAGCTTTAATAACTTTTGATGACTGTCTTTAATGGGCAGCACATTTAAAAAAACCCAACAAAACCAAACAAAAACTAAACAAAAAAACCCCACTTTTTCTCTGAAGTTTCAGAATACTTTCATAAAAATAATTTATGCCATCAGTTTTGTGTGTAACTTTAGCAGCATGAGTTTTTAAGAGGGATTTTTGGTACTGTTTGGAAGCCTACAAGTAATTTTCTTATTTAACAAAAGTCTTGTTGATTGGCAATGCATTTAAATTTTCTAGACTAATAAAGAGGTTATTCTTGCACACTAATGGCATTAAACAGGACAATAGTAAAACTACATCCAGCTATTATGATGTTGAAATAATGTGTCTTTACATTGTTTTTTCCTTTCATATTCTTTGTTTGGGTCTGTTTTACATACTTCATTTTAAAGAATGACAAGAGGAGTATGTCTAACTGTGCTTTTCTTACAGTACACCAGAGAAGAAGTGTCTTTCCACAGCAGAGTCTACGCCACAGTCTATTTATGTTGTTCAGTCATTGGGCAGGTCCTTTTAGTATCATGTTTACTCCCCTGGACAGATACAGTGATAGGAACATGCGAATAAACAGACACCAATACTGTGCATTAAAGGTACTTTAGCACTTTTTGAATTTTGGAAATAGATCGTTATGTTGACTTTTCTAATGCAAATTTAACATTTGAGCTTTTTGGATGCGGTTTCCGCATCCTTGTTGCCATTCATGACTTAGTTCTTTTTCTCTTCTGCTGACATGTAAATTTATGACAGTTTGGCTTTTTCCGTACTGAAAACTGTCACACTTGCTATAGGAATTTCTTAAAATTACTACTAAATGTTCACTTCCTGTGACTTTAGTCCTCGGTTGCCTAAGGAGAAAGGCTTTCATGTAAAAGTACACTAACAATCAAGCTGACATATTAACTCTTACATATGTCAGCATTTCCATACTGACAGTTCCTTGTATTTGGGAGTTGAGGAAAAATATGATTTGATAATTTCTTGAATAAGATGTTAAATAGTTTTTTATTAGCCTTGGTCTTCCTCCCTTGACTGAATATGAGTTAGTTTTCTGATATTTTAATGGACTTGGTAAAAGCACTTCCTGTGTCTGCATTATTAAAATGTAGTGTTTTTCAATTACTTTCTAAAGGCTATGTCTGCTGTACTGTGTTGTGGCCCTGTTGCAGATAACGTTGGGCTCTCATCTGATGGCTATTTATACAAATGGCTGGATAATATTTTGGATTCACAAGACAAAAAGGTAATACAGACAAGGTCAACATTGGTTTGCAGTTATCGGTGCCTTCAGCACATGCTTTAATGAGTTTTGTGGTGAGATTGGCCTAAATGCTTTAGAGTGGCTTAAGCTCAAAGCTGTTTTAGTAGTGCATATTTTTGCACTGTCCTTAATATGTGTATTCACCCTGCTGAGGAAGGCAGTCCCTAATCACATTCTAAGAACAGACAAAATAGAACGGAAGAGGAAAGGCCTAGGAGTCAAACTTTGTGTATCGTTCATAAACTAATCAGCTAAGTTAAGGTGTAGTAATAAGCAGATCTTTTAGAAATTTAAAGGAGATGAGATTTTGAACGTGAATTTTGGAGTGTAGAGTCCACTGGGGGTCCTCCAGAGTTACAAAGACTAAGCTTTACATCTAAACAGTAAGGCAAGCTTTAGATTTAAAAGATAGGGCCTCCATTGCACTAATACTATGACTACATAAAAATACAGCTCCAGTGCGCTACTTTGATTCAAGAGAACGTGCAAGTCTCTGTGTAGATCTATCCCTTGTATCCCATTGGAATTCCTGCATATGTTTAAGTGCTTTTCTGTACCTAATGCTTTCAGGTCATTGTTCAGCTTGTAGTAAGAGAATACAGTAAATAGCTCAAGGTCACCTTAGAACCCAGGGAAGAAAAAAGTCAGTAGAGCTATCTAGTTATTTGCTTCAATAATTTATGACTGTGTGTGCAAGTTGAACATTAAACAGTTTGACAGAATTACCTGTTGTTATTTCAAGCTGTTGTCTCATTATTTTTACATGGAACAAATTTTGTGTATTGCAGTTACGTTGTTTTGGGTTTTTTTAAATTAAATATCTGTTTCCCTATTTTATGCCATTTTTGTAAGTTGGTCTTTTTTCTATATTTATAAATAGATATTGGTTCTTTTCTGGAATACAGGTTCATCAGCTGGGCTGTGAGGCAGTCATGTTGCTCTTAGAACTCAATCCTGACCAGAGTAACCTCATGTACTGGGCCGTAGACCGGTGTTACACAGGTTCCAAGCGGGTAGCAGCTGGCTGTTTTAAAGCCATAGCCAGCGTGTTCCAAAACAGGTACTACAGCATTTTTCAAAACTTTAAACTTTCATTTTCAAAGCATGCTTTCGTGTAGAACTGGGTATTTTCCTCCCCCAAAGAGAAAGGATCACCCCTGTTTTGTGCGTATGTGTTATTAGAGAAACTTTGCAAAATTTTTATATTATGCCATACCATATACCCAGTAAATTAATCTTTAATAAATTAAAATTTTAAAAAGCCAAATGTAATTTTACTTAGTTCGCATTTGCAATTTTTTCCTAGGGATTACCAGTGTGATACAGTGACCCTCCTGAATCTGATACTATTTAAAGCAGCTGATTCTACTAGGGCTATCTATGAAGTTGCTATGCAACTATTACAGGTTTGTAAGCTAATTTTTTTTTTTCCTTTTAAAATAAGAATTGTCCCTGTGCATTTAAAAAAAAAAAAAACAACCTGTTGTTATTTGGTTGTCCCTTCAGTAATGAAATACAAATTTTCTTCTCTATTTTAGTGCATAGTTAGGCCAAATCTTTACTTGGCACAAACAGACTTCAGTGGAAGTGTGTCTGTTTTCATGAACTAAGCACTTAAGACTTGTATTTTCATAATATCTGCTTTTTCAAGAGACAAAACCTAAATGAAGATTCTTTTGGTTTGGCCCTGAAACAGAGTGGTATATAGCTCCATTTGTCCAAAAGCACCTCAGAGAGAAGTATATTGCTTCCTGTCCCATTACTGTGTCTGCTGGGATAGCAGTCAGTTTTCTGATTTTTGCATTAATACCAAACCTTTTTTCATCCATCTGTGTAGAGAGATGATAGTGAAAATCTTGTTAGCCATTTAATTTACTTTTGTATATTCCTTTCCGAGGTCATTTAGGGGTAAGCTTAATCTTACAGGCAGCATTAGTGTTTAAAAATAAATAAATAAATAAATCTGTGCTGCTTGTGGCTCAGACCACAAGCCTTTGAGGTTTTTTCAAAGGTTTTTGTTGTCAGGTAAATGCAACAGTAAAGCCCTCGCTGAAGTCACACCCCTATTGATATGTCAGCACTCGCACCATCCTCCCTTTCAGCCCCATCTTTCTCCTCAAGTGAACACCACTGCTTAGGATCAGCCAAAACTGACTTTTAAAGTATCAAACTGCTTTAGCCTCCTGCTGCATCTCTGCCACATCAAAGATTACATTGCTCCTATCCATGTCTCATAGATGAGCAGAAATTGGTATTGTTTGGGAATACAAGTGTTCAATAGTATTTCATATTTTGTTATAGAGGAATTTATATTTAATGAGGTATTTTGTGATGGCAGATTTCTGAAATTTATTGCTGGAAACTCATCAAGTGGAGTGAGTCTTAGCTAGTCTTCTATGAAATTACCACAGTGCAGATGTATGGATATCTGCATAGATAGGAAACATTAAATGAGAGTAGATACAGAAACTTAAAAGGTGATTTTATATAAAGATTTCCATTGTAGCTCTGTACTTGGCTTCAAATTCTGAACATTACTGTTGTAGATCTTGGAACCAAAGATGTTCCGTTATGCTCACAAACTGGAAGTTCAGCGGACGGATGGGGTTTTGGGTCAGCCTTCTCCATTACCACATCTGTATTCTGTGTCCTATTATCAACTGTCAGAAGAATTAGCAAGGACTTATCCTGAACTAACACTTGCTATCTTCTCAGGTACGGTTTTAAAACAAAACAAAAAACTTCATCGGTTCAAAAGCATTGTACAAAGCGTGTAATTCTTATTTTTCAGTAATTAATCTATATGTAATTCACTAAAATCAGGACAACAAGATAACATCATCATAATGAATGGAGAAAATGTAATTTACTGAGTGACAATTTTTGTTTACTTGTATTTGAAATGTATTCAAGAATCATGAATCAAAGATACTTATACTGACTTTCTAGTAGCCATGAAGTCACATTAGAGAAATAATTTACAACTGGATTTAAAAATTATTCTTCTATTGTTCTTTCTAGTGTTTTCTTATTTACTGTAGATTCCTTAAAAATATTATTCCATAGCATTTTTAAAAAATTGCAGAATAATAACATCTCACATCAGTTAAAAAAATCTCCTAGGACTAATATGAGGAAGATAAAATTTTAAGTGCTTTTTTGCCAAAGTTGGTACATTTTTACATGCTCTAGGTTTTCATTTACCTCCTCCAATTAGAGTAATATATATATACACATTTGCTAATATGGTTTCTTCAACTTACTGCTTGTCAGCAGTGTCTTCAATTAGCTCTACTGAAGACTGCGGACTTTATCATTATGAAATAGCACTAGCCAGCTAGACAAAAAAATTATGTTTGTATCAGCATTACTTTATATCAGTATGGTCTACTGGGCTCATGGTGGTTGTTGTTATTACCAAAATAGTTCTCATTATTGATTTGCAATTCATGTATGTACCTAATTTTTAAATAACAGAAGTAAGTCAGAGAATCCAAACGGCTCACCCAGCTGGGAGACAGGTGATGCTGCATTATCTGCTGCCATGGATGAACAATATTGAGTTGGTAGACTTGAAACCTTTGCCAACTATTCGTCGGCAAGATGAAGATGAGGAAGATTCTTTGAAAGACAGAGAAATAATGGTGAACAGTAGACGATGGCTACGAGGAGAAGGCTGGGGATCACCACAGGCTACAGCCATGGTTCTGAACAATCTGATGTATATGACTGCAAAGGTAAAAGTAATTGCTTAAGTGTTCCATCTTGTTCCAGTGGACTGTTGTGTTTAGAGTGCAAGAAAATACTGTTCAGAGATACTGTGTTACCAAACTTTCAAGAGCAGTTGTTCATACTTGTTGAGTTGCTTATGTACACCCAAACAATACCATATAGTTTTGAGGTATTACAAGAAACACATAATATGTAATATAGATGTTACGGTACTTGTTATATATAGTAACAGTATATAACTGTTGTTTTGCAATATGGATGTCTAGCTGGATAGATAATACCAAGTTGCCTGTATACCTATGAGCTCAAAGTGGAGTTTTGGAACTGATCTTGTTGCCAGAGGCTGATAGACCCTCCTCCTTCCTGTGATAGCTATTGCCAACAGAGAAAAAGTATTGGTCACGCGAAGTGCTCCTGCCAATTCTTGATATCTTTGAATCCTGCTGATGAGAGAACATGTTTTAAGCTACAAATTAAAAACTCTTGACAGCCTGTGGTCCATGTTAATTTTATTCAGGATTGTCAGCAACTGGGAGACTGGGTATCTGCTAAATTTAGATAGATTTTTTTGTATTTATGTATAAATGAATATATAAAAAGAGAAATAAATTCACATATAAATAAATATTTGTATACTTACGTATAAAAGCATATATCATATATAAATAGAATATATAATATGTACAAATATGTTTAGGTATATCTTTAAATATGTATTTATAGCTATAAAAGAAAATAGATATTTCCAGAATTTGTCTATAAAAATGAATATATGTGAAAGCTTCATTCTAGAATGTTAAAAAGGTAACAGCTTCTTACAGGATTCATGTCTCCTTTTTCTAGAGCCAGTCCTCCTTGGTCAATATAGATCACTTTCAAATAAAATGTTTTCTACTGGAGTTTTCAGGAGACATATTTATTTTGTTTTCTAGTATGGTGATGAAGTGGCTTGGTCAGAGATAGAAAATGTCTGGACTACTTTGGCAGATAGCTGGCCAAAGAATCTGAAAATAATTTTGCACTTCTTGATCAGTATCTGTGGAGTGAACAGTGAACCCAGCCTTTTGCCTTATGTGAGTATGTAATATGTCTCTCCTTAGCGCTATTGATATTTTAAAAATCAGTTGTGTGTCTAGCAGCAAAGGTGATCAAAGAAAAAATGTGAGGTAGGATTTCTAGTATCAAAATCTCCGACCACATAACAGTGCCACCCCATATTTTCTGACCACTACATACTACGAACAAACCAAATTCAGTTCTTTTGTTTGAGTTACTTTGGACATCTGTGTCAAAATTTCAGGATCAGTTTCACTTAAACCCAGCATTCATGGAATGGGCTTGAAAAAGTAAATAAACCAGAAAGAACATTGCGCCTTACAGATAGCTGAGGCTTCCTTAAGAAAACTTACTGACTATTGCAATTTACTCAGGGTGGTAAGTCTGAAACAGTCCACTAGCCATCTTATCAGTTATGAGCTGTCAAAATTCAGGGTATACTAGATGGACCATAGATCTTATTTAGTGATTAAATCATAAAAAAGTTTTATTCAAATGACGACATCTGTCTTGGCATTTTTTTTGTTCTTTTGTCATAAAAATGAAACTTAAGTGTTTGATTGCTAAATTAATTTTATTAGGAGTATACACTGAACAACTTTCCATCGTAAAACACAAATCTACTGCAGCAGTTCGTCTCTGTTCTGTAGGAAGAATTAAGATAGTTTCTTAAGTAGTATTTTCATTAGAAAATTATTCTAGGTTTTGCTAATAGTCAAAAAAACTAGATATGAAGTAAACAATCATAAGTCAGTAATATTATTGAGTTCTCACTAAGGACAGCTTAAGTTCTTCATTGATTGGTAATTGTTTTTGTTGGCAAATCAAGAAATCTAGCTTAATGTTGCAGCCCAAAATCTTTGCGTGTACGACAAGGTGCGTTTGAACAAGGTGACAAAGTAATTCCATGAGTCGAACACCCTGGATCACTTGCTTACTGTTCATCTTTGAGTTCTCTCAAAAGGATGGAAATAAATCGTTGAGCAGCAATGACTCAAGAAAATGTCAGGAGAAAAAATAGGAACTTAGTGATGTCTAGAGTAATCACTGACTAGCAGCCATCTGCTGCTGCTTAGTAGTGACCAGGATTATTTTGCTGTAGTAAGATGTAGTGGAGAATCCTGAATTGCTATATGCTTAATAAAATACTGCTATAATTAGGTGTTTATTCTAATCAGAGTATATAAAGGCCTCGAGCATTTTGGGAATTAAATGGTTTTTCCCATGCTGTACTTTAGGATAGTCCTAAAAAGCAGACAGATAGTATAGTAAAATAAAGCACCTGTCACACCATGTAGGGACAGTGTGATTATTCTCACATGACCAAGTATTTAAACAAAAAAAAGCCTACCCCAAGCCCCCTCAAAACCAATTTTATTTTTTGTCAAAGTATATGTGAGAGCACTGCAGAATAGCATGAGGAAAAATATGATACCTCCTGGAAAAGAATTAATGTAGAACACAACTGTGGAGTATCAAAAAGAAATTATATCAGAATATGTTCGCTCCAGTGTTGGTCCCAGGTGTTGCTAAAACCTTTGTAAGAAAATCTTTGCTTCTTAAATAACTGTCATTGAACTCAGAAGGCTTACTTTCTTACTGCTGTGATACGTTTCTGGTGCTTGCTGCTATTGACAGCTGTGAAAGCAATTTTGTTTGCTTTTAGAACTAGAGTAAGTTTCAGGTATCCTCACCTGCAGTGCAGGTAGATACTGATTCTAACAAGTTGCAGTATTCATATCTCTTACTTTCCTTTCTTTTTTAAATCAAGTCACTGCAATAAGAATTTTATTTATGTACATACTATTTTATATACATATACTTGTTTTTGATGGCAGGTAAAGAAAGTCATTGTTTATTTGGGTAGAGATAAAACAATGCAACTACTAGAAGAGCTGGTGAGTGAACTTCAGCTTACAGATCCTGTCAGTTCAGGAGTCACCCATATGGATAATCCACCATATTACCGCATTACTTCCAGTTACAAAATCCCCTCTGTCACTTCAGGTGAGAATTCATTTACTTAAACTTTTATTGTTTTCAATGATAAACGTGCTATTATCAATCAGTTATAATATTGGAGTTCACCCGTAAATATTCAATAGGATTACAATGTTCTTTTTCTAAAAATAAATTAAGGTACAAAGTTTGTTTTACAAGATTTGCAGTTTTTGGTGTACCCAGAGTTCTTATTAAAGAACATCTGATAGGTTCAAAAGGAACAGGTTTGTATTAATATATGTGTTAGACTTTGTTTATGTTCAGATCTTGCACTGTTTACCCTCACTATATCACTTTTATGTCAATTCAGTCAAACAACTGGGAAAATTTATATAATTTTAAATCCATGTAAGTTGTTACATTTTAAGTTCTGTTATAGACACAAGCTGCATCCGTAGGAATTTATTCAAGAGGATTTAAGTGAACTTACTTAGGAGAATTTATTTAGAAATAGTTAAAAATTAACAATAGATCGATCATCAAAAAAAACCCCACTGAAAATACAGAAAGTGTCTACCCCATGCTTCAGTCAAAGAACATGCTGAGAAATGTGGGGAAAAGCTGTCTGGGTTTGGTGAAGCATCTTTCAAAGTAAGCCACAAAAGACATGGATGGGAGGGTATCTAAGCAAGGACTTGGCTTTTGTGCTGCAAAGCTGTCAATGTTACGAAGCAGCCTGGACCTATCACGTAGGGATTATCTGGATCACAAGGTGGATGCATTGGCACTTGTTCATGAAAGTGTTTAAAAAGTATGAAAAAAAATTATGGGGCTTTTGCACTTAAGTGTAATTGAGAGCAGCAAAATCTGTGGGGAGGGTGCAAAATTATTTCCGATTGTGGTTGTCTACTCAGTGTGATGCTTGCAAGTTTCTCTTAGAAGTAAATTGATACAAGGTTCACTGCAGGCTTAGTTAGGTCTTAATCCCTAATCTGTTTGTGGTTTGAATTAGCTGCATACCGAAGTCCAGCTACATTTTACAGATTACTATGAGGTATAGCATACAGGAGAGACAGAAATAGTTCTCTAGGTCCTGCTTCAAAAACAAGCCTTTCTACTTAACTTACATTGAAGACTCGGAGATTCCTGGAATGGATTCTTTTGGGTTTTTTTCCAGTTAGTGAAATTATGGTAGCAGCTCAGAATCTTTTAGTCTAAACAACAATTTTTTTCTTGCATGTGAAAGTAATTTCTATGGCTCAGTTTGTATTTGTGCCAGTTGCTGTAGTGTAAACCTGGTTAGAGCTCTTGGCATGGACAAGTAAATAAGGGTTGTCGTGTAGTGCTTAAGACTGCTTTTCTTTTTTTTTTTTTTTTTTTTTGGTCCATAATTCACAGGTACCACTTCTAGTAGCAATACAATGGTAGCTCCCACAGATGGCAACCCTGACAGTAAACATATAAAGGATAATATTGAAGAGAAGTAAGTATCTCCTCAAAGAGCAGTTATTAATTGAATTACAGGCATGCCTGGTACGTACTATAAATACTTGCATCTCAATGGCTCCAGGTATGTCTACATTGCAGGAAATATATAAATGTAAGTTTTATAAGATTTAAGCAACAAACCAGCAATACTATTTGGGATTAACAGTAGCAGCGTCAATTGTAATTTGAACTCAAAAAGCTGTAGAGGAAACTGAATAAATTAAGGGACCGATCCAGGTCAGGCTTTGTATTGCTATGGCGATATTGTTATTGATGCCTAAATTAGCTACTGTTACACTGGACTGTATATGCCTGCCTAAGAGACATTATACTGCAGATGGATATGGACACATCAAGGGTAAATGTTATTAGTTCAGTAATGCAGCCAATTCGCAAATTGGTTTCCTAGCTCACTAGAGAACAACAGTGCCCATGTGTTGAAAGCTAGTTTATTCTCCCAGTTAGGGTATTTGGATGCCGGTATCTGAGGCAAGATTCCTTCCAGCTGGCTTAAAACAGATGCCTGCCTCCCTATTTTTTGAGCTTCTTGAGAACAATCATTTGGAGAAATTTGCCAGACAGCGGTACTGGTGCGAGGGTGGTGGAAAGCAAACAGCTGACGTGGACTTAGTTGGGGTGTAGGCTCAGAGCTCAGCCGTAACTGACTGTGAGCATGCTCTCATTTTGTGTTAAATATGAGATAGCTAACCTTAAAGTGAAAAGGGAGTAGGGATTCCATAATTAGCATGAGAAAAAGTGTGCACAGAAAAAAGTGCACACATGCCGTTACTGTAGAGTAGCTACGGTGTGGTAAATTCACAAACCAGTTTATTTTGTGACAACTTGTCTGAAAGCCTTAGTAATTATGTTTCTAATATAATTTCCCAGTTGGACACTTTTTTCCTTCCCTAGGATAATTATGTCAATGTAGTTAGATTAGTAAATATATTGATAGAGACAACCCCAATACTTCAATTAAATGGGGGGGTGGCTTTGTGAAAATAAATCACAGAAGACTGTGGAATCTGAGGTGTCATTCAGAATTCAGCCTAGCAAGGCACAGACAAGTATTTGGCTGCTAGGGGGGCTGGAGCTGAAGAAACTGGTAAAGTAATGTTTTGAAAGTCTCTGCAAGTTTTGGCATATGCTGTAGGGTTGTCTCACACCTCTCCAGGGTGTATGCTCTTTGGTAAGATAGACCATGTACGTCTTGGACTTCGCAGGAGGAGCGAATTTTAGAAACTTATGTAAAAACAGCTTGGAAATTGAGCTTTTAGCACTCTCATTTCTCTGATTTCTTTATAGTTTATCAGATTAGCAAGTTAGGCTCTTGGTCTCTGTGTATATGTCTATGTCTGTGCCAGACCAAATAGGGATTTCATTATTTTGCTCAAGAGTGAGAAGAACTTACTTATGTATAATGATGACAAATATTTTAATGTAATTAAAAGTTAATGAAAATGATCTAACAGAAATATAATTTATAGTGGGTTATCTCCTTGAATCCCCTTATCTAGCATTGCTACAGGGCGTGAGTCTTAGGCAGCTGAGATACTTTGGCATCTTATTGATTGTCCTTGTAAGATGAAATATTTTTGCGTAATACCTTTGCTGAAATACAGTTTTACTGAGAGACCCTGATTACTTTTTGTCACAGAATGACAGTTACTAATGCTGTTTTATTTGTTCCTACAGTTACGTACATCTAGACATCTACAGCGGGTTGAACAGTAACTTAAACCGCCAGCACCACAGACTAGAATCTCGCTACAGCAGCAGCTCTGGAGGATCATATGAAGAGGAAAAAAGTAATATTTTTATTTAAAAATATTTCTATGGATAGAAAACAGATTTTTCACAAGTTAATACTTTTGCTGAAGGTTGTGGAACATGAGGAAATAGGCATTATCAGTGTTTTTTGCACAAACCTGTTAAAATTTTTTTTTTAACATTCCTCAGTACTGCTGTTGAAGTCTAGCATAGGTTTGATTGCAATAGAATGTGCAAGGAAGAGAATACCCTTTCTTTCTTTCCCTTGTCCTCTGGAATGAGTTGTGAACATCTTCACAAATTAAGCAATTCTACTCTATTTTATTTGCCAGTACCAACACCAAAGACAGATAGATGGTTAGGCAGAAGAAACAGGAGAGAGATTAGCAGGAGGAAGATGAAATGAATGAGGAAAAAGATGATGGAAAAGAAGTTAAAAAAATAGAAAATTAGAAGTAATTGCGCTTTTAAGTGATAGCAGTCCTTGGCCTGTTTAAAAAAAAAAAAAAAAGGGTACAAAACTTTCTGAGAAGCCATACCAAAGGAAAATATAGCAGGGAAAAAGGATCTTGTTGTCTACCTCTGATTTTCAAGCTTGCTTTGAAATTGTGTTTTGGGTTATTTTTTGTGATCTGTGGTCTGGTTTTTCTGAAGTGCAGAAGTAAGGAAAGATGTAGAAATCTCTCCTGAAACTCCATATGCTTTTGGAGACTTTTCTTTAATGGAGGCTTATTAGCTGTGGCTACTTTTGTACCGGTCCCTAAGATATAAAATCATTGTAACAATGCTGGGAAACCTAAACAGGTCTTGTAATCAGGCATTACATAAAATGAGGACAGTGGTCAGACAGTAAATAATGCGTTACATTAGTGGGTTCTGTATGCTTTGTCAGAGTACTCATAGAATCATAGAATCGTTTATGTTGGAAAAGACCTTTAAGATCATCCAGTCCAACCATTAACCTAATATTACCGAGTCCACTACTAAATCAATTAAGGGTCGAGTGATAATTAATTTCATATTCCTGGCTTGGTGGCTGGATTATTTTTTAATGAAGTAAAACTAGGAATCATTAAGGTTGGAAAGGACCTGTAAGATCATCAGTCCAACCATCAACCCAACACCACCATGCCCACTAAACCATGTCCCAGAGTGCCACGTCTACCCGTTTCTTGAATACCTCCAGGTATGATGACTCCACCTCTCTGGGCAGCCTGTTCCAATGCTTGACCACTCTTTCTGTGAAGAAATTTTTCCTAATATCCAACCTAAACCTTCCCTGATGCAGCTTGAGGCCATTTCCTCTTGTCCTATCGCTTGTTACTTGGGAGAAGAGACCGGCCACCACCTCGCTAGAAGCTCCTTTCAGGCAGTTGTAGAGAGCGATAAGGTCTCCCCTCAGCCTCCTCTTCTCCAGCCTAATCGCCCCAGTTCCCTCAGCCGCTCCTCATAGGACCTGTGCTCCAGACCCTTCACCAGCTTTGTTGCCCTTCTCTGGACACACTCCAGCACCTCAATGTCTTTCTTGTATTGAGGGGCCCAAAACTGGACACAGTATTCCAGGTGCGGCCTCACCAGTGCCAAGTACAGGGGGACTTGTTTGACCGAAACTCTTGTTTCAGCTAACAAGCTGTTAGTAATTAAAATTACTTTGTACTTTAACCCTGCATGGGATTATCAGATAGATTTTAGTGTGGTCCAGATCATTATAGTGCTCCCACAAACGATCTTCTTAGGTTTTTCTCAATTTTTTTATTGACAGTTGATTTTGCTACCAGTTAAGTTGTTTGGGTATGGTACAGAACATGATGCAGTACTGCCTTTTCCTTACCTTTCTTGTGCTGCTGAACAACAGGATGTAAATTTCTGCGTTTGAGCATTGCATGTCAGTATGGAACCTAGTGTGTCCCATGACGTATTGGAGCAACAGAGTCCATTAGGATGTCCTTATGCACTCCTTAATAAAAGACCATAAAAGTTAGAGTGAATTTGTGGTTCATATTGCCTCTTTGAAGAAAGTGGAACATGATGTCCTTCACAGAGATTGTTGTAAAGGCTGGACATGTTGATGCAGATCAGCTAAACTTTGGGTCAGTAACAGGTTGGTGGACCTTAGTGTGTTTATTACTGCTTAGATGGGTGATACCCAGTTTCATAGTTGTGGTCATTTTCATCTTTCTTTGCTATTTGTGATAGCAACGCTGACTCTCCTGAAGCAGGTCATAATTCAGATGTTCCTTCAGTAAGAAGTTTGTCACTTCTAGTCAAGAGGGTGATAACGAGCTGATACATGTGTGAACTTCTGAAACTTCTGCAGCTATACTTCCAAAAGGACAACTGGTAGAATCACTGAAACACTGAACTGTTGAGGCAGTCTCCTTATTTGTTTCTAGCCTTAACTGATCATTCTGAAGTCCAAGACATCTCATTTAAAAACAGAAAAATATTCCGGATGTGTAACACAGTATACTCTCATACCAAATAGCTGATGTGTTTCTTCCACTTTTGAAGCTTGTGTAATCAAAACCTAAATGCCTTTCTGTGTTTCCTGACAAATTTACTGATTTTTCTGAGCAGTGATTTTTGTCAAGCAGTGGGATTGGGCTATGCTACTGTACAAGTGGCAAGTTCTGAGTTACCCCATATATCAGGCTGGCATTATCTGACATGTAGAAGTGGTGGATTTTTGCTAGCAAGACATATAAGGAGGTGCTCTTGAGAAATACTTCCTTAGCCTATAATGACATACAGCTCTTCAAAATGAGTTCAGTAAGACCTTGGGACCCAACCTTAACTCCCTATCTGACATGAGGTTTGAAATTCAAGGAAATTATATAGATCACTTTGCCTTTTGTTCTTTATGTGCATTCATGTTCCCCATGTGCATCCATCGCTTTTATGAACCTGTTCAACAAAATCTTACTGTTATGTGCTTGTCTTCTGTAGAATCATCCTTATGCTAAAAGAAATAACCACTTTTTTTTAAACTGTGTCCAACTAGTACTGTTTATGGCTGGTTCCCCCTCCCCTTCTCCCAGATCTCAGCTTTTCAAGAATTTATAAATATTTCTTTAGAAAACTATGTAATACAGAAATGTATTATTTTTTTTTTTTTCTGGTTTAATTATCTGTTGTGTTAGGTGATTCTATGCCTCTGTATTCAAACTGGCGGTTGAAGGTGATGGAGCACAATCAAGGAGAGCCTCTACCTTTTCCACCTACTGGAGGCTGCTGGTCACCTTTGGTGGATTACTTGCCTGAAACTTCTCCTCCGGGCATGTCTCTTCACAGGTAACTGTTGTAACAATGCTGATGGCAATTCCTTACGTTTTAATTTGTGTTGCACAAATATAGTAATTTAAAGACAGTAGATTTAAAGATAGTAGATTTATTTTCTGTGGTTTTGCTCACAGCTCTAGCAGTTTAAGTTTTCTAAGCTTTTAATTTGGAGGACTAAAGATTTCTATCTTCATTGTGAGCATTCATCTTTTCCCTTAATACAACTTTGTGGATGTGTATAGACTTAAAGAGTACTGGTTAGTAGCATATTAAGCTATTTGCAGCTCTTCATAAAGTTCATACATTATGTTCTTCTAACAAATTATTTTTTTGTTTTCAGATGCAACATAGCAGTGATCCTTTTAACTGACTTGATAGTTGACCACAGTGTAAAGGTGGAATGGGGAGGATACTTGCATCTTTTGCTTCATGCAATTTTTATAGGTAACTATCTTAAAGAAATATTTCTAACTTAGGAACTGTTAACTATTTATGTAACTGCTCTTTTCCACATTTAAATTAATGCTTGCCATTGTGTTGAAATCTCATTAATTTGTTAATATTTACAATATTTTTCAAAAATCAACTAATTATCTTTCAGCTTGATTAATATGAATATAATTGAGAGGTTTTTGGAGTCATTTGAAGGCACTTTCTGTTGGAGCCACTTTTACCTCTTTCTCCTTGTAGAAGGCACAGTAAAATTCAAATTTTTGCTTTCTGTTTCTCTGTGTAGTAATTGTCATACAGAGCACATCTTAAGTTCTTACTGTTCTGTGAGAAACGAATATATTAATATTTGTTAAACTGTATGCTTTTGGTTTTATATTGAAACACTGAAAAACCATCGCTTATTTAGTGAACTATGTATCTGTTGTTTGGTAAAATATAACAGACCAGTTTGAATACTGCTGTTTTTCTATTAATTGAATTGTGTGCCCTTTGAATTTAATAAAGCTTTTCAATTTTCCTGTTATGTTAGGTTTTGACCACTGTCACCCTGAGGTCTATGAGCATTGTAAACGACTGCTTTTGCATCTACTGATAGTGATGGGATCTGGCAGTAATGTCCAGTCTGTTGCTTCTGTCCTACTCAGAAACAGAGAGTTCAATGAGTCCAGGGTGCTTACTGTCAAACAAACTACCCATTTAGATTATACTTTCACAGGTATGCTTTAGATTTATTAAATGTTGCTTGTTAAAATGACATGGAAAGTTATCTCTTCTTCCAGGCTTTATTAAAATTTCTGTTATTTGTAATATTTTCCTGAGCCCTTGGCATTAAAACGTATTTTGTTTCAGTTCTGTCTAGCTGGTTAAAATGTACCATAATTAAGCCAAATGAAGATGGTTCCTGTTACCAGTCATCAGAGTTGGGGGCACAGTTGACTGATTAAATAATACTGGAAAGGACAGAGGGAGCTCTACGTTTTGGATCTATAATACAGCAGTTTTTATGATGCACTTGGAAATAAAAACCAAGAAGATAGATATATCTCACTTGTTTATAGTGCGTTTAAATATCTGACTTTTGTCAGTTGTAATTGCATTGTCAATAAGCTCAATTCAGTTCAATACTCTCTTGCGATACTACCTTTTAACGTTCACCTTAACATTACAATATTGTAGTTATACAGGAATTACATGTTTTGCATGTATATCTTTATGAAGGTAGTATTTTGATGGTGTGAGCCTATTGTAGCTTTTAAAGAAATGTGAAATAGTTCATTTTGTTGAAACCTAGTATTTCGTATTATTTCAGTAGGTGGCAGCATATTGCTGTACAATCTGTTCATTCCATTTTGTTCACATCAGAAGTGGTTTTGTCACAAACTGAAAATATTAATCTGTTTCCTGAATTTGATATTCATGGCAATGAGGAAATAAAAAGTGGGCATAGTGGAGGAATTCTTTTATGTAAACCTATTCTCAGAACTTTACCAGTGCACCTATATGGTGACCTATACAAAGCATTCCATTCCTAATCTTTGCAGTTTTGAGTAAAACTGTCTAAATGTGACACAGTATTTTGCTATTATTGAAACAAAAATGTCTGATAGAAACTAGAATGAGATTGGCATCAAACATTTCCAGCTGGGGATTAAGATAAAGTGATTACAGGTATGCATGCCTAGCACAAGGTCAGACTAGCTGATGCTAAATTTTGTTTGAACCAGCTAATAATCCAGCTTTTTAGAGTGAAAATTTGTGGCAGATGTCAGTGAGTCTCAAACTTATGTACAGTTGTTACAGTAAAAGATTCATGACTCTCTTTTCCTTCCCAGTCTACTTTCTCCTAGGATCTCATAGGCATAATGTGAGGAGTTACCACAGTTGTATTTTATTGCCACATAATTCTTTACATGGAGAGAAAATCTTACAGAAGCAAGATTAAATTAACTTCAGAGAAACTTTGTGCAGCCAGATAGGCTCTGCTTAGAATTGATTCACTAGTTAATACTTAGTGTTCACTGATGTACAGTGCTGTCAGTTATGCTGGGACTGAGTTTTTTTTTTTAAAAAAAAAAACTTCTGCTTATTATTAGGAAGTAGTTCGTATCATTTGTCTCAACTTATTAAGATGAGGTGCCTCAGAGACTGATGATGTTATTTCACCATATTACCAATACAAAATCAAACATAAGTGGTTTTAAAGAGGGATCTAGCAGTTCGTTATTGAGGGTCCAGTCATGCAAAGACTTTGCAATGTCAGACTTGTTGATTTCATTGAAATTATTGCATCCATGAAATTATTCTCATTACATTTGCCGAATTATTGATTTTTAGAGGGCCTTTTTTTGTATATATATTTAATATTAACAGTCAACAGCTCATAATAATCTTGTTTTTATTTCAGCAGGTGTTCATGATTTTATACCTGATTACCAGCCCTCCCCAATGACAGACTCAGGGCTTAGTTCAAGTTCTACCTCTTCTAGCATCAGTTTAGGAAATACAAGTGCTGCCATTTCTCATCTGCACACCACAATCCTCAATGAGGTTGACATTTCAGTAGAGCAGGATGAAAAAGTGAAAACTCTCATAGAATTTATTACCTCAAGGTAAGATTTAAATTTGCATTTCTGTCAAGACATGTATTTTGTGGAAATATGGCAAAACCCTGACTATTTAGCATCATGTTGTCTAATTTTGTCTCTGTTTTTTCACCAGTAAGAGATAGTGTAACCCTGAAGTGTTTTTATGTGATACAGGCTATGAACAACTCTAACTTTGCAACAATTTCAGAGAATTTTGGCCCCCCTTTCGTGTCCTGAATGTTTAAAAGTCTTTTGCCATATTCTGCACACGTGTCTCATCTTTGCTTGCCACACAGTTTATAGAGTTCCCTTTTCCATCTAAAGGGTTCCCATACTAAAGGATTAGGGCTAGAATACATAAAGATGATTAGGGAGCTGCAAGATTTGTGTGGAGTTTATGGATTGCCTAATAGTAGAGAGCTGGCTATTCAGAAAATACGAATTGGTGGCAAAGAACATCTGTAAAGCAAGCAACACTTGTGCAGTTGGTACGATAGTTTGTATAAAGCTTTCAAGATTGGGTAAATCTGAAATCCCACTTGTCTCTCAAAGCTTTTGATTAATTATGCCAACAAAAAAAACCCCTTTACATCAGCCTAAATTTAGAATAGTGGGGTGTTATTCATGTGAAGAAAATGGGAAGAAAGTAAGTTGTTTTAAGAAGTGTATAATGGTGTTAGTTGTACTGGTTCTTTGTTAGATAACTAAATATTATCTAATAGAGAACATCTCTTCCTAAATTTATGCTATTTCAGTTGGGTTTAATATATTGCTTCTCACCTTGTCTTAACTTCTTGTATATTTTTGTACAATATTGGACAGTTCTCAAACTTCTTTCAATTTGTGTCTGCCGTTCTAAATGATTTCTTTTATGCCGTAGGTAGTAGATTCTTTTGCAATTAACCTTAAGTTTAAAATAACATTTAAAAAATATTAATGACAAAGGCTATGTTTTATATTCTGTTTACTCTATTTTTATATTTTTAGGAAAAGAGGGCCACTTTGGAATCATGAAGATGTTTCGGCCAAGAACCCTAATATAAAGAGTGCTGAACAGTTAACTGTGTTTTTAAAGCATGTGGTATCTATATTTAAACAGTCTAGCTCAGGTATGTTAGAAAACAGTCAATATCATAGAATGCTCAAGTCTGCAAACTAAATGCATTTTTTTCAATGCCTGTAAGTTTACAGATGATCTGTAAAATCACTCTAGGTGATCATTCACTGCTTCTAAATAGTAGATTTTTCTTGTGTGTTGCACACTTCAGTTCATGTTTCTGTTAGGACAGATTGAAATATAATCTTTCAGGAATGAGATAAAGTATCTTATTAATTTATTGTGGACACTTACTATTCAAACCATAAATGTTTTATTCTCTACAAGTCTCTCCAGTGTTAAGTATTATGGAATACAAGTTCATATGCCTGGAATGATTTTTGAGAGCAATACTGCTTGAGAAAAATGTAGAAGATGATAGTATTTTAAAGTTAAGAATTACTTTGGTAACTTACTCCTTAGTAAATTCAAGTGGGTTTGGTTTTTATAAAGCATTGCATTGCTTGAGTATTTATTTGCATTTGTAGGAGGATTTCAATTGGAACACCGTCTCAGTGAAGTTGCTTTGCAAACTGCGCTTTCGTGCTCCTCTCGACATTATGCTGGGAGGTCCTTTCAGATTTTCAGGGCTCTGAAGCAGCCTCTTACTGCATCTACGCTTTCTGATGTTCTCTCCAGACTAGTAGAAACTGTTGGAGATGCAGGAGAAGAAGCTCAGGTATTGAAATTTTCCCCCCACTTTATTAGAAAGCTAAGTTTGCCTACATGATGTACCTACATTTTTATTTTAATGACAGTAAAATTTCAAAGTATTTTTTATTCAGTTCCTTTTTATTTTTAAATAAAGATATTTCAAATATCAAAACAGTTTTAACCGTGACACTTCCTGAATTTTCACCTAATGAAATGATGAAAAGATGAGCTGTGCATATCCTCTCCTATAGCAATAGGAACTTTCAGAGAGTTTGATACACCTGTTTCCTGAAAACACCTTCTCTTTCACAGTTGGAGAATCCTGAGATCAGCCATATAAAAAATAAAAGAAAACCTAAATTATTAAGAACTTAATCTGATAAAGTGTTAACAACCACCCAACTTAGTGTCATTGTATGTGTAAAGAAGCGGATGTAATCCTTTAATATTGCAAAATGAGAGTCTAAATGACTCCATCCTTAACTCCATCCTTAAAAACAATGCAAACCAGAATGAATTTTGTGAATATTTAGAAATAAATTTAAGTTTTTTCCTGTCTTCAATCTATACTGCTAATTTGAGCTGTCTCATCAGGGTTGTGTTCTAATTGAAGCATGAAATAATAATTCAGTTACTGATACTGATTTTATATTTTTATATCACTGCTCAGTAGATTTTCTGTGATCTTCCTTGTGCATATTGCATAATTTATAATGACCTCTGGCTTTCCCCAGGGTTTTGTCATAGAACTTCTTCTGACCTTAGAGTCTGCTATTGATACATTGGCTGAAACCATGAAGCATTATGACCTGCTTTCTGCCCTTTCTCAGTAAGTTCTCTTATTAGTCAAGCTACCTTAACACATTTTTACACATTTGAATTATTAAAGATCTGTATTATAAATGTAATTAAATAATTTCTTGTTGTATTTGCAGAATAGTTGTAGCCTAATAAGAAAATTGCTTGCTCTTTTATGTTTTGCCTCAAGCAAAACTCCTTAGAGTCTAGACTTTCTGAAAAGAAATCTCTGCTACCTTTCCAACTTACCCTCTTGGGTCCAATTTAAAAAAAAAAAAAAAGTGTTCAAGGTGTTCCTTATGGCTCAGTTCTGAAATGTTGTCAGTTCTTCTGAAACTTCTCAAAAATAAAGGCACTGAGTGCATTTAGAACTTTTTTTTTAATGAGGCCCTACTGACCTTGATTAATAGTGTAATTAGTGGGGGTCTTATTTTTTTCCCCATACGTGTAATGTAGGTAATGGCACTGATCTTTAAAAGGTAATTTAAGATAATTTAAGGCTCACAGATGAAAACTTCTGTACTGCAATAAATACTTTTATTCCAGTGTTAATACAGAAGAAATTTCTTCAGTTACAGCAAATGCTAGTCTGTCTTATGCCTCAAATTTGTTGTCCATATATGAGAACAGTGTAATTGAACAGTCTGAGTCATTTGTGTGTCTCATTACAGTCTGAGTGGTTAACTCAATGACTTTTTATCAAACTGAAAAAAATCCCTAAAAGTACAGATGTCTTTATTTGTTTGACTTCATGGCAAAGTTTTTGAAAATGTTGAGATTTCTAGGAATATCTTCAATTTCTCAGCATCAGAACTAGAAGGTGTTAGGTTTTCTAGGTCAGATACTTTAGGCAAATATAAGGTAATAAGTAAATAATTTCATTTATTAATTCATTCATTTCTCTACCTTTATCACATCTGTAAGTTGGAATGCTAGATCTTCGTTTACAGATAATAGTTTACATGCTATAGGCTAATTTTCCTGATCTTACTGAATTGTTATGCAATTATTTTGCTATTTTGGGATTGTAGCAAGTAGATTTCGTAGCAGAGATAATGGGATGCTACAGTCTTGTCCTTATGCTGCATGGATATTTTAGTAATATATATAGAAATTCTGTATTTTTGTATATTATAATACTCTTCTGATAATGAAGCAGAGTATTCACTGTGTATGTATATATGTGATTATTGTCAAATCTTTTTTTCTTTCTTCCCTTTTTCTAAACTATATGTTATTGAAGCATTTTGCATGGAATAATATGTAATACTGATTTCTATTTTAGAACCTCATACCATGATTCTGTAATGGGAAACAAGTATGCAGCTAATAGGAAAAGCACTGGACAGATAAATCTAAGCACAAGTCCCATTAATAGTGGCAGTTGTTTGGGATACTACAGCAATGCAAGAAGTAATTCTTTGAGACTGAATTTAATCAGTGAGCGGAGAGGTGACCGTCGACGGAGCAACACACTGGATATAATGGATGGAAGGATAAATCATGGTGGCAGTTTGGCAAGGACTAGAAGCCTTTCCTCCCTGAGAGAGGGAGGGATGTATGATGTGCAGCCCACTACTGACCCTGTCAACTTGATGGCCACCATATTTTGGATTGCAGCTTCATTGCTAGAGTCAGATTATGAGTATGAGTACCTTTTGGCTCTCAAGCTACTCAACAAGCTGCTTATTCACTTGCCTCTGGATAAATCAGAGAGTCGGGAAAAGATAGAAAAGGTGCAGAATAAACTGAAATGGAATAACTTTCCAGGCCTTCAGCAGCTTTTCCTAAAAGGCTTTACTTCAGCAGCTACACAAGAAATGACAGTTCATCTCCTCAGTAAACTCATCACAATCTCCAGGCATGCTTTGGTGGATCCTTCTCAGTTAGCAGGTATCTTTAGTAACTGTATATGTAATGAAAATGTATTTTTTCATCAAATTAAGTGCAATCAAAATCAGTAGTGATTATGCATTTGCCTTTAAAAAACACCTGTCAGTTAAATGCTTTTTGCAGTTGTCGATATTACAGTGCCAGACAGTGGGAATACATTACACACTATGGTTATCTGCCAAGAAATACTGCACAAAAACTTTATGTATTGACTATTAACTTACTTTAAACTTGCTTGCAAGTTTTAAGAGCACATGTATTATTTTTCATGATCTTGTGCTAAATAGCTCAATTAGTGTTATTTCAAACATCTGCACATTTTTGAAACACTGTGACTGTGCTGTCTAAAGCTATCGAGTTTCATGGTAGTTTTGCTTAATTCGTTCTGTGATGATTTTATTTTCATCTTAAACATATTTATACCTATACACAGACACATTTATATACCTTCTGCATACTTACACACTTAGGTACGTGTGTGTATATATAATTTGTATATCTGTATGAATGTATGTGTATCGTGCTCTAAGGGTTATTAAATACCATAAAGCTGTTAACATGCTTACGTAACTCCACATTCAATTAAGTCATATTAAAATCATTAGGGCGCATATAACTGTGTTTATGTATGTGTTTAGGATTTCCCCTAAACATCTTGTGCCTACTTCCTCATCTGATCCAACATTTTGATAACCCAACTCAGTTCTGTAAAGAAACAGCTGACAGGATAGCAAAGGTATGTAAAATGGTGCTTGGGGAGTATCCAGGAGTTTACCACCTGCATTGCTGTATTTTTCTGCTCTCTTATGCAGTACTTTCATGTGATTCTAATAGTCTTATAAAAATAACTATAAAAAGTTGTATTTTAAAGATGTGATCCAGTCCTGATTTATATAGTTGGTCCTCATATCAACCCCTGAGTTTCCCTTTGTCAATGAAAAAAACACATTTTGCTTATTCTATAAACTTTAGATGTAAAGAACACATTTACTTATGAATGGTATCCTTTACTTGTTCTTACTTGTCTGATTTTGCAGCTTGTAATTTTAAGTATAAACTTAATAAATTTTTAAGCACACTTCCTAATTTACTTGTGATAAGGAAGTGATCCTTACCTTTCAGACTGGTAGACAGAGAAGAAAAGGTACTATGTTCTTTCTGTTACTTGTACACAGTGATTAACTTTGGAATATTTCTGAACTGTAGTGTCTGTTAAAGCAGTACATGGTACACACCAACAGTCTCCAGCCAGGCTGGTGGTACGCTGCGCTGACAGCCTGCATTTTAAGGGAGAATGTGGAAAGGGGAATACGAAAGTGCTGGCTGTCACAGGAGATGCAGCCAACAGCCCCCTGGCTTCCCAAACTGTGATATGTAAATCACTTAACTGTGTGCAGGCCACCTGAAAGGACTACATGCCTGGTGCAGATCCAGAAATCACTGTTGTCCCGTTAATACACGCACTACTAGCTAGGGGTGCTAGTTAAGGTAAGTTTGGTATGAGTAGTAGATGAACTTGGGGCATGGATGCCACAGTACTACTACTGCAGATGCTACTGCCTTCCCAAATGCAAGCCCTCGTAGCTCTGACAAATGCAAGGCTCGTAGGCAAGGACTGGTCTAGGCTTGAAAGAGAGACAGGTCAAGGCTTATGAATGCCTACTGAGTGCAGCTGCCTATTCAGCAACATGGAGCTAAATTCTTGTTATTTACACCTGATGCATTAATTTATTTATTTGAAAAAGCAGTTTAAGTCTCCTAGCTAGTTCTCTCTACTAGTTTTTTAGTGAATTGTCGGGTTCCAAAATTCAACAGAAACTGTAGATGTTGCTTGTATGATTAGTTTGATTTCAGTTACTGGAAAATAGTGTGAAATCTGGGAAAAGTGCATAATGACTTGTGAATGCTTAGGTCAAAAATTTGTCATTTCTAACATAATTAAATAAGCTTTTTGCTTTTCAGGTTTGTGCAGAGGAGAAATCACTAACTCTTGCCAATCTGGCTCATATGATGAGTTTATACAGTACACACAGTTATTCCAGAGACTGTTCGAACTGGATTAATGTAGTGTGTAGATACTTGCACGACTCTTTCTCAGATGCCACATTTAACCTCGTAACTTATCTTGCAGAGGTAAATTTTTAATAAAAGTGTATCTCATGTTGACAATCTGTGATCAACGTTACATTTACTCATTGCCAATTTTTCATGATGCTGAATACCGGGGGGGAAAGGCACGTCTTCCATAATGGGAGAATAATAATAAAATGTTCTAGGGTATAGAAAAGGGATGACTACTGCCATTTTGGAATACAACAATTTAAATGTGCCTTGAAATAATAATCCCTCTAATAAAATATCCCTTTTTTTTATAGTAGTGTTTTGTAATAAATATTTATATTCCATTCTACATGAATAAAATGCACACACTCTCTTGACTTTAGCAAGGTATACTTAGTGCAAATTTTGAGACCTTTTTTAGCCAAATACACATTTAAAGATGTCCTTATCACAACCTAAAAACTAATTTCAAAGTTCAGTTTGTAAGTATTGCACAGTATATAATCAAAGATCATTTAGATTATAGAATTCAGTATGTGATTCTGCCAGCCATTCATAGAGGAAAACTATTACCTTTGAAGAAATACCTTGTGTGAAAAGCTTGTAGAGCTTGTCCTTGAAGTATGTCACTTCAAATTGATGAAGATTTTTTTTAAAATATTATTACAATTTCATGGATTCAGTTATATGTACTTACTTTGTTTTGTAAGCTTGTGTATACTAGCCTTCTCTAAGGCATAGACATAATTGTTTTTCATGCAGCTTTGAGATTTTCAATTTGTATGAACACTTTTATTTAGTGAGAAGTATTTCGTTATTAGGTGCTTTAGATCTGTGCTAACATGTCAAAATTCAGGGAAAAAAATGAATTAGGACAGAGAACCTTCTTCTATTGCATTACAATTTTTTTAATGCTAAAATAAAATTTTGAAAATCATGAAGTGGTGCACTTAAGTTTCTTGAAGGAAAAAATAAGTCTGTATGGAAGTTAACTATATTTTAATGTTTGTTTTTACTTTTTGCTACCATTAAAGGCCTTATTTAAATTATGTATTTTTTAAAACTTTTTTTTTAGCTGTTAGAGAAAGGTTTATCCAGTATGCAACAGTCCTTACTGCAGATCATTTACAGTCTTCTGAGTCATATTGACCTATCCACAGCGCCAGTGAAGCAGTTTAATTTGGAAATCATAAAAGTTATTGGTAAATATGTTCAGGTAGGTACTCTGCGAAACCATTAAAGCCTTTCTACTTATTATCAAAGTGGTAGTGAAATTACACTTGAATTTTTTTTGAGAATTAATTTATTTCAGATATAAAAGGAGTTGTTCAAAGTCAGATTCCATAGTATTTTATTTTTTCTCCTACGTACTTAATTCATTATATGCTTATGTCTTTGTCCATTTTGGTTTTTACATCTTGTAGGACAAGTTACCTGGATGAATATGTGTCTATTTACAGATGTGCGCAACTCTGCCTATGTAGTTATAGCAGATGATCCTTGAACTAATAAAATATAAGGAAATGTCTACTGCTAAATACTGTGCAAATGTTTTATTTAAGTGCACATGTTTTCAAAAGGAAGTTTTACAGTCAAATGCATGTTTAAATCACTTTCACTAATATATCTGTGAGGAACATTAAGGTACACCTTAATGAATTTGAGTGCATTTTTTAGTAAAGTAAGTCCTGGAAAGATGAACAATGGTGTTTTGCCCCAGGTAATTTGATCCTTTGTACTTCGAACACAATTTACTGAAAATCCATTTTGCAAAAGAAGGTCTAGCATCTTGCTGAAAGATTTTATGAAAATGCCTGGAGCATAAAACCATTTCAGTACACAACATTCTCTTCTTCCCCCCCCGCCCCACCCCCCAGCTTTTCTTTTTTCCTGAATTCTATTATTGCCAAATGTATTTCAGTCAAATGGTTTAATCATAATTAACCAGGAAGTGTAGTGTTCCTGGACATTTTGTTATTGATGGATATGTACTTTAGATATTGTGCTCCTGTCAGAGTGCATTAGGCAAAATGGAATGATTAGCATAACTATAGTTTTCATGGCCTGACGGCTGCTTGCTTCCACTCTAACCTTTATCTGAGCTTTCTATGCAAGCCCACACTACCATGGAGTGTAATCTTAATTAGAAGATGTTAGCTATCAAAATAATGGTACTAGCAAAAAAAAAATTCCAGAGTAGCCTGTGTATTTTTGATACGATAAAACATGTTACTATAGATGACAAAAGAAGAGATCATAAATGAACGTCTTCCTTAAATGTGGTGCTACTAAGCTGATTTTTTTTTTTGAGTCCTCTGCAATCACAATGCATCTTAATACATTTAAGTTGCTACAGAATGGTTCAAGTTTGAGACTACTTTTTTATGTTTATGATGCACAGAAATTCAGGAGATTGTTGAAGACTGTAATTACCTACGAAGAAGTATATATTACTTAGAGCCTTGAAAGTGGTGGGCTTTTTTTAATGTAATAAATTTTTTTTTTTTTTAACAAACATGGCATCCTAATTAAACAAAGAAACAAACAAAAAAACCCCCAAACCCCAGCCATCCTGCTAATTTCAAAACCTGCAAGATTTAAGTTTCAGGTAGAATCCTAACATTTTCAGGAGTGTAAATCTTAACTCTCGCAAGGTGCTGCTTTTGGTGTCTCTTCTGTGATCCACTCCATAATCTCTGTAGTTGAAACTGCTGAATTATTTACATTACCTTAATCATCTTTTTAAGGAGAGTGCACTTAACTCAGGTTCTGCCACATATTACATTTTCATACTTTTGCCCTGGCTTTTTTAAGCATTCCATCGGTTTGATACTATATCTAAAAACCTTGTAAATGTTTTTGCCTTTTTTTTTTATTTTTAAGATCTTTGAAATGCGTGAGGAAATATAAAGCACAAAATATTTTTGTGTGTTTCAAATTCAGTTTACTCTGCCCATAAGTGTAAAATAATTAAAGATACCAGGAGGTGAAAGTTATTTTGCTTTTAAGTCCTATCAGTTTTTATCTTCTGGGGCATGAAGGGCAGATACTTCAGACAGTGGTAAAAAAACATAGCGTAAATACAGGGAGCGAGGGATATGGTATAGGATCTGGTGTGGCTGGCTCTGTGACCTGGAGCTAGTGAGCCTGCCTGGCTGGACCTGACCACCCACCGTGGGATGACCTGGTGCCTTGCTGCTGCCCTCCTGGCGCATCAAGGTCCAAAGCCGCCCACTTGTGCTAGCACCTTGCAGCGGTGTGTAGAAGGTTAGAGCTTTTGGGTTGGGGAATCTTGCAATGAATCAGTGCAAAATCCTTCTGTACATTAGAAATGGCTGTCTTGTTTGAAGTGATTGTTTTGAAATTTGTGTACGTTCTCTTTAGAGTCCATACTGGAAGGAAGCCCTTAATATTTTGAAACTGGTGGTGTCTCGATCAGCAAGCCTTGTTGTACCTAATGATATTCCAAAGTCTTACGGAGGTGACGTAGGTTCTCCTGAAATCTCATTCACAAAAATTTTTAATAACGTCTCCAAGGAGCTACCTGGGAAGACCTTAGATTTTCATTTTGATATATCAGAGGTAATTATTATATTTAAATTACAATGCAATAATTGACTTCCTGTTGCAAACTCACATTTGTTTTCTGTTAGCCTTCTGCACTTCTATGTTTTAAAAAAAGTATTTTTAAGAATGGCAGATGTTGAAGTTTTACATACGTGTAATTAGAGTCATACTGAAAGATAAACTTTGAATTCTTTTATGTTGTTTTTGCCTTTTTCCCCCTTTGAATGTCTGGAGGGTTTTAATTACTAAAAGTCAATAGGATTATTCTCAAGGATATTTCAGCCGTGTCAGAGAGCAGGCTAATGCAGCTGGCTGCTGCTTGCAGCTGAACATTCCAGGCTTTCATCAAATGAAGGGTTGTGCATTCAAGGGCTGGGAGGATTAAAACCCTGTACTGCAGTTTTGGCATGACTTTGGAAGGGTGAGAAAATTTAGAGGAGGGAGTAGGAATATAGGAACCTCAGTGTGAGGTGGACACAACTGGACAAAAACCTCCTGTAGTTAAACACAACACCCCTACCCCCCAATTAGCATTCATTAGAACTGAAAAAAATATATTAATACAGCTGATAATGAGCATTCTGTGTCTGAAAAGGGGAGCATAGCCAAATGGCTGCAATGTAATATAGGGATGTGAAAACTGTAGAAACTTTAGTAGTCAAAAATAAGGGCTCCTGGTTGAAGCTGACCCTAAATAATGATTGGAGATACAGATGTCTTAGAAGCATTACTTAAATTGGTAAGTGAATTCCTTACTGGAAATTTCAGTGCATGCAGATAACAGGCAAGACGAATTCCCACAGAGTTCACTGGAGTAGCGTTTGCTGTCAAAAGAGCTGAATTTGATCTTCGGTTTTCAGAAGTGTGCATGTGTTAGTGCAGTTGCTGGTCTGTGAAAACAATTTGTTCATGTCTGTGAATGATCTATAGAAAAGCTTTGCGTCTTTCAAACTTAGACCACAGTTGATTTTAAAGTGTGTTTAAAAATATGCAAGTTTTATACTGACAATCCAGTTGTTATTCAAAAAAACGCAAGTCAGCAGAATGGCAACCTGCTGCATAGAGTAGAAGTATTCAGCTTCGTATTTGCCAGTGTACCAGTGCTCAGTGGATTAGGCATGGGCTTCGTAGAATGCTTAAAAACAAACGGACAAACCCTCCTACATTTTATATAATACTGAATTCTGAAATCAAATGTGTAGACTTTACTAGTATGGATTTGAATTTTAATAAAGGATTTGTTGGTTTTGATAGACACCAATTATTGGGAATAAATATGGTGATCAACACAGCGCAGCTGGTAGAAATGGGAAGCCAAAAGTCATTGCTGTCACCCGCAGCACTTCTTCAACTTCATCAGGCTCCAATTCAAATGCATTAGTTCCTGTCAGCTGGAAGAGACCACAACTATCTCAGGTACATTGTATCTCAAGCACATTATACATATATTATAGACAGTGTTTATGAACGTATTAAAAACATGTGTTGAAATGTAATTTGAAGTCTATATGGTGTCTTAGCAAAACAATAAATGAATATAGCATAAACTAAAAGCTAATACCAGTGAAAAGAAAAAATGGTAAGATTCTTTTTAGAGGATGTCAGCATGCGAGATGACTAGTTAAAAATGCAGACATTTTACATTTCTACCTGGACCTCCAGCAGATGCCTTGCTATGTGATTTTCTTTGATATGTTTTTCAGAGAAGAACTAGGGAGAAGCTAATGAACGTGCTTTCTCTATGTGGTCCAGAATCTGGTCTTCCCAAGAATCCTTCAGTAAGTGGTGCTGGTGGTTTGTTTTGGTTTTTAAATCCCAGTAGTGAGAATGCTATTGCGTTTTCAGGTTTGGTGAAGTTACGAAGAGCGGTTTTTGACAAACTGGTTTTGGATCAATAATTCACAAATCCAGTTGAAGAGGTAAAAAAAGATGGAATCATATGTAATAAATTACTATTATTCCTCAAGAAGTCCAGTGGGCACTGTTCTTTACTAGACAGGTTTCAAAACAGTGATTAAATTCAGCCAAAACTAATGTTGCCATTTCAGTGCATTTAGGTCAGTCTTATGGGGGAGGACTATATGTTTTAAAGCAAAGATAAATTACTAGGATTAAGTCTTAATTTTTTGCTTACGTAGTTATCAAAACAAGATTTTTTTTTTAAGTCTTTGGATTGGAACTCAAATCTTTCCTCTCCAAATCAAATTAGTTGACTACTAAGGAGCTCCAATGATCAGACTAATCCTTAATACTTTTTCTCAACATTTTACATTCTTTACAGAAGAACAGGGCTACACTGTTGCTCCAGAATAGTGTGTTGTATGTTTGAGGCTGCCCATACGAATTTTAATTGTCTTGCCTAGAATAGGGGCTGCAACTAGATCTCCCCTGTTAGGAGTAAATCTCTGTCTAGTCCCTTGTAAATAAGGTACGCTTTAGAGAGAAGGGGCGGCAATGGCTGAGGACTGGAAGGATGTTGATGCCGTATTGAAAATACCATAGAATCCACTGGAGATGACCAGTGGATCACATGCCTTCAAACTAACATGGACATCAGTAGGAGCAATAGTATTAACTATTGAGTAAAAATAGGCCAATGGTGTTACTTCTGTGTACAGCACAGAAAAGACCCCCGCTGGCATACTAAGCTTAATGGTAGTGATGACATTAAGAGCTTTTAAAATAAAGTGAGTAGCCTACCATGGTTATCATCTAGAATATTGTTTTTTGTTGTGACATAGAAGTTCTTAACTGGGGAAAAATATTGATGGGAGGTGGATCTTTAATCTAGTGGAGGAGGTTAAAATACATAAAATTAGATGCCTGAAAGCTGAAACTGAAGAGACTTTTAAAAATTCAAATGGAAATAAACAGCAAATTGTTATTTGTTAAGATTATTGTTTCTGGAAGCCAGCATTAGATGCCTTTTAAAAGGTATACGGTCCTTCCACAGAAGTTGGTAGGCAAAAATGATATGGCCCCAAGCTGCGTCAGGGGAGGTTTAGATTGGATATTAGGAAAAATTTCTTCACGGAAAGAGTAGTCAAGCATTGGAACAGGCTGCCCAGAGAGGTGGTGGAGTCACCATCCCTGGAAGCGTTCAAAAAACGTGTAGATGTGGCACTTTGGGACATGGTTTAGTGGGCATGGTGGTGTTGGGTTGATAGTTGGACTGATGATCTTACAGGTCCTTTCTAACGTTAATGATTCCTCATTTTACTTTCATTAAAAAATAATCCAGCCTCCAAGCCAGGAAACATGAAATTATTACTCTACCCTTAATTGGTTTAGTGGTGGACTTGGTAAAGTTAGGTTAATGGTTGGACTGGATGATCTTAAAGGTCTTTTCCAACCTAAACGATTCTATGATTCTGATTCTATGTGGATGATTATTATGATGGATTTTTTGTTCTTAAGTTTGACTAATATTGTGGTTATATAAATGAAGGTTCAGGGGTATATTTTTCTCTTTATTGTACCTTTACAGCTCTCAGTTACATTAAGGAGCAAATGATATCACTAGTTTAAAGATGTAGTTTAAAATCCAACTAGTCTTGAAACAAATTGCAGTCTGCACTTGCCCCAGTATTATCATTATAGTGGTAAGCTAACTGCCACTAATGCCATTAAATTACAGGAAGCAGGATAGCTGACTTCTGGAGTTATAGAAGTTGGAAGTTTTTATTTCTATTTTTACCCATATCTGCAGGTTGTGTTTTCTTCTAATGAAGACTTGGAAGTTGGAGATCAACAAACTAGTCTTATTTCAACAACTGAAGAGGTGATTCAAGAGGAGGAAGTGGCTGTAGAAGACAATACCAGTGAACAACAATTTGGAGTTTTTAAAGACTTTGACTTTTTAGATGTTGAATTGGAAGATGCAGAGGTGAGACCTTGGGATTTCTTCTGTGTATTTCCATTTGAGAACGTTTTAAAAATTAGGTTATGTTGGTGCAATTCTAAGGAATTGGCAGCTCTTCTAACTAATCCAGTTGGGAAGAATTTATAACATGATTGAACTTGACTTACACGATAGAGAAACCTGTGTCACAAACTTTGCAGTGTTAAGTTGTTGCAAATTGTTGTGTGTTTTTTGTGGGAAGGTTCGGATTTTTGGGGGGAGGTTAAGTGTCTTAATCTGAAAGTGAAGTGATATGACAGTATAAGCCAATGACAGGATGAACACCTGGGTATGATGCAGTAGAAAACTTAATTGTGGAACAATATGTTAAGAAAATGGCATAATCTTTGTTCCTGATATGTTTCTGCATTTTGAAAACATGAAGAAGAGCTTTCAAAGTTACAAACTGTATGATATACTATCTTATTATATACGATTGACCTGGTCACCATAATTGCTTGCATTGACTTTTGCATTATATCTGGTTTGTTGCAGTTCTTACGTTTCCTCCACTTCTCCTCATGTCAAAAAAGATGGAGGGGAGGTAAAACAAAATTAAATACTGAGAAATAGTAAAGATTCTGTTAACAATTGTTATTTTTTGGGGATAAATAAAATGCTTCAGAATTTGCTAAAGCTTAAAAGTAGGATGGTAAAAGGACTGGGGAGAAGAAATCAAATGCTTTATAGTTTCTTTCAGTGGTTTTTTTACAGTCTACACAAAATACTGAATTAGTAATGGAGACCCTTGCAGGTCATGAGTCAACAAGCTACTAAGAAGAATACCTGCTTATATAAACTCTAAGATTATTCTTCTCCTGATCAATCTAGCCCTTTTTACAAAATCTTGCTCTTTTTCCCCCTAATACTTTAGTTTTATCTCACTTTCTTCATGCTTCCTGTGTATCGCTTCGCTTCAGCCAATATTTGCATTTTCTAGGAAAAGTACAGGCTCATTATGGTCTATTGCATATATGTGACCACACACTATACAGATACAATTTCCTATATTGAATGCAAGTAGTCAAACAGTTCAGAATCATCAAGGCTCAGTAGTAGAAAAAAACTATTTTAACACTAGATGGGGCTTTGCAGGTAGGATGCCAAAAGTTGAAAAGTTTGCCAAACCAAGTTAACTTCATGTTCTGTATTATTTTAATAGCAGATCATAATGAAGAAAAGATAGTTTCTTTCTCATTACTTGCCTGTATGCAACATGTAGTGCTATACTTGGAAAACAAAAAGAAAAAGAAAAGAAAAAGTACAGCTTGTACAAATTTAGGGCATTACATATAAATTGTGTACTTTATATAAGAGCTGCCTAGTTCTGTACCAAAATATAGAATGTTCTTTGCTGCTAATAATTAAATGTCAACAGTATGAACTGGGGCTTTTACATTAAAATCTGAGTAATACTTAGATTAAATTTAAGTGCTTCAGCCCACAGAAGTAGTACTTTGTTGTTGTTGGGATTCTTTTGCTTTGCCATAACTTTTCACCTTTTTTTGAGCAAAGCAAATCATTAAGAGAGAAACAAACTACAAAATGTTTAGTTTGCTTTGCCTATTTAATGTGTTGTGATGATCTCTTAAGTCACCACAAGAGACACTCACTCTGTTAGAGCAGTTTTGGAACCCATACTTGCACAACTGGGGCTAGATGTGGGATTTTCGGAACTGTCTGTAGACTGGCGAATTGAACTGATCAGGTTTTCCATCTTTCTTAGATGAATTGTTGAAGGTTGACAAAGTGCTTGAGAAAAGCAGAGATCATTATTGTATTTGTGAATTAAAACACTAGTGTTTTTAAGATACAGATTTCACTTAGTATGTTGGATGTTTGAAACCCCAAGTGTCCCAGCTTTAAAATGTGCAAACAGAAGGGATCCAGCTACTGGTGTTTAGGGTGCATTTCATAAAACTGACACAAAGTAGCTGGTAAAACAGTTAATGCAGTCATTGTTTTTTCTACAACCTGTATATAATTAATGTTGATGGTGCTTTGTCAGTTGGATGTGGTCAGTTTAGATTCATGTATGTTAGTTAAAGAACTTCATCCGATGTTTGTTGAAACAGTTGCTTTACATGTTATGCTAGAGAAAATGTATCATAAGCATGCTGGTGTTAGTGTTTTGTCATCAGTTTGTTTATTTTTTTTAATCAATCTCCCATTAGAAAGAGAAATTATTTTAAATACTAGCTTTTTGACTAAAGCTTTTTTTCAGAGCTTGAATCAGTCTTTTACTGTTGGCAAATCTTATGTAATAAAACATTTTTCCCTGGTTCTAGAGTATCTTTAAGTGTTTGTCCTCGTTCTTTCTAATTATATGTGTTTTCCTTTTTGCTAACCAGGAGCTGCAGGTAAGTTGCAGCCTGGTGCCCTGGCTTGTTCATCTGTTGTTGTCTGTGGTGTGTTTGTACTTTCTAGTCAGATATATAAAATTGATACTGACATAGTTCTAGATTATATATTGAGTTACTTTCCAAGAAGATATTCAAAAGATTTCTACTTCATTTGCCATATATTTTATCTACAAACATCATTTAACAAGGTATTTAAAATTTTGATAAAATTAAAGGGCTGATTGAAACTCTGTTCATAATGCATTCAGTACTTGTGTTTTCTGTGTTGCATTTGTGTATTAATCTTATTAGGTTGAAATTCGTACATACATGTCTGTGCAAACTTTTTTTATTACAGGGTGAAAGCATGGACAACTTCAACTGGGGCGTTCGCAGGCGCTCTCTTGACAGTATTGACAAAGGAGACACACCGTCTCTTCAAGAATGTCAGTACTCTGGTAGCACACCCAGCTTGAACTTGACCAACCAGGAAGATACTGATGAGTCTTCAGAAGAAGAAGCAGCCCTGACTGCAAGTCAGATACTGTCTCGTTCACAGATGGTAAGTTATTTTTCTGTGAAAGCAATCTGAGAACTTAAGCTTTCACTTGTACTTTTAGTGGGTAAGCATGGCTCACGCTTTCAGCTTAAGTGAACTAAAGAGGAACTAAATTAATGTGGCTAAGCTTCTTTTTCATAACAACATAAATGAAGG